TATACAGCCCTATCAAATCGTGATGACACCAGGTGTTTGCGAAAAGATGTGAAGGTGAGGTGAAATGGGGTTTAACGTAGCGTCCAAGATTATTGCACTTATATAGCGACGTGCTTGCACGTGTATGTGTGTGTGTGTGGCTGCTTGTACTAGTCCGGACTGATGCCGATTTATAGTGCTAGCACACTGAGATACCATGCCGCAGTTTAACATGAGTACCCCACTCAGACACAGTATACTGACTCCGAGCCGACCAGTCCTTGTTTTAGCCCCTTAATGCTGAGCGCCAGACAGGGTAACAACAAGTACCATCTTTTAACGTCTTTTGGTACGACGCGGCTGGGGTCGAACCCCGGACCTTCCGGAGGCGGTCTCGCGAAAAGATGAGTCTATCCTCTTCCCCCCCCCCCCCCCCCCCCCCCCATCGGTGGTACCCGTCCTAAACACATTTCTTTATCTCCCTGAAGCTTTATGCATAGATCTTAATATCCAACAGATGGGGAGGTTTCCGTGGTCTCTATTACTTGTAGTTCAGGTGAGAAATAATGTGGAAGGGAATTGGCGGTGGACCAACGATATCAGCTCATTTGGACCATTTCCATTAGGTTTCTTGTATGTGATCGTGTTGTCATTATGATAAGAAACATAATATCCTCATGTTAGCAAAAGACACTTTTCTCAGAGGAAATCATGTCATTATTTATTTGCTATGTTCAGTTTTCGTTAACACACAATCATTTTTTTCAAACTTCATGACACAATTTCTCGGCGAAAATTGAGAACCTGCGCCAGTCCCTACTCACCACCCTGTCTTGTCTTATCATAAATATAACCACGTCAACGCCTTGACCTGGCAGATGGTTTGTATTAAGTCGCGCGCCTATAAACTATTGCAGATCATATTTTGTCAAGTAGGTTGATTGTCATGTAATTATTTATCTATTAATATAACTTTTATTCACTCTCCTTAAACTAATAAGTGTTGCTGTTTTTTTCTTCTCTACCAATACCCACTGCAATGATATTGCTTTCACGAACACCTTGTGTCATCACTGATTTTCAGTGAACCATTCATATGATGTTCACGGTTATCTCGCCTTTAAAGGTCAATGGAACATGTTATGGCAGATAATACAGACTGGTTATTCCCTGGCGTGGACGTTTCATATTCACATGATATTTCTGTATGTGATCTGTAAACAATAGAACATCACAAATGAAAGTGTCTTCCTTCAAAAAGAGAAATTACTTTAAAATGTCGTGTGCGCTTTGATCATTGTACCTCTCATGGAAAGAGTGCAATACAATGGATTATTATTATTGTTGTTGTTGTTGTTGTTGTTGTTGTTACAGTGTAAGTATTTTTGTCTAATATGCTGGTGTTATGGATATGTTGAATATCGGCTGATGTGAGTTTCCCTGAAGCAAGTCGGTATATACAGTTACAATTCATTGGAGTATGAACCTTCAGGGCCAAACTGTATGACCGTCGAGGTTACACAGAGTGAAAGTCAATTCTTATTATTTGTTATATCACATTTTTCTACCTCGAGGGATGTAGGCCTAGATCTCTCGTCCAACGGAAAAGCTGTATATTGTGAAAACTTCACGTTGAAAAAAATGTTTCAAAATTATCTGTAGCTGTTTAACATTTCAAAGTTGTTAATATCATAAAAAATCATTTAGTAGAGTACTGAGGTATCTTTTGTCATTCCCAAGGGAAACACGAGTTTCGTGAATTCAATACAAGTTTACATAAACGTGTCTCTTGATTATTCATTAAAACTAATTTAGCTGTAATGAAGAGGTAAAGTATTTTTTATTGAAAAACATGTCAACACAATAACGAGGTCAATATGACGTAATACATAGTGACACCAATACTATTATGGCGCAAATAAAACAAGAATTAGCGATGCTGTCACCTATGTTTTTTCTTCGTTGAGTAAACAATGCCAAAGAGCGCGTGAAATCACATTTGCACGTGGCCTTAGTGTGGACCTATATTGCCTTCTTCATGTGTGAAATCAAGTCACCAAAACGCAACTGCTACAGGAAAGCATGCATTCCATGCAAAAGTTTCACTACCCGCGAATGGGTATAAAAACAAAGAAGATCGGGTCGGGGGCGGCAGCGTTATGGTATGGGGTGGGATTACAGCAAGACAGAGGACCCGTTTGATAGTGGTAGAGGGAAATCTTAATGGACAGCGCCCATGGCCCAGGCATTACTTTTCAGCATGACAACGCCCGGCCTCATATTGCTCGACTTGTTCAGGATTCAACAAAACAACGTGAATCTCATCCCCTGGCCGGCTCGCTCCCCGGATCTCTCACCAATCGGGCACATATGGGATGAGATGGATCGGCGCCTTCGACGTCAACCAGGTGTTCCATAGACACTCCAGGAACTTCTAAACATGCTTTTGCGTCGCAACCATAGGTGGACACACACGCTATTGATTTGTAAATTGACATTTTGTTATGAAATCACGCATTTTCTGAAGTCAGTATAGCAAATTAAACCATTTGAACACTTGCAGGAGTCTTTTATCTGTTGCAAACCGAAATTGTTTCAGACTTGTTAAAAAACATAACTTTGCATTACATTTTATACAATGTCACAGGAACCTTTGTTGTTCAGGAATACATGTGGCCACAACTCATAAACATCTGCCATGCGTTTTTCCTTGTAGCGGGTTATCTTCTCACGAGTGTAGTTAATACGTCTCATTGTATAAATATTTCCTTATATTTTAGGAGATATAATTATTTATGAGATCAGATATTTGCTAATATGTTTGCTGGTTGTTGAGGTGAGGCGAACTGGGATTCAATATCATTTGCAGAACATATACATTTGTATAGCGACGTGCACGCATGTGCGTGTGCGGCTGTTTGTACACGTCCAGACCTCGCCCAGTGTTTGATTTCATACCCATGAATATCCGACTTAGACACATTATACTCACTCTCAGCCACAAAGTACTAATATTCCACTATGCGTGCCAGGCATTGTAACAACAGGTACCATATTTTGACGTATACTGGCATCACACGACTCGGGGATCGAACCACTGATCTCCCAGTGTCTGGGAAGGCGCTGTATCCACTACACCGGGAAGGCAGTGCCAGGAAGGGTAACAACAAGTACCACATCTCAACTCATGTATATGAAATAGTTCATCATCGTCTTACGTTATGTGCATGTACATAGGCGTCCCAATTGTAAAAAATGATGGGAGCCGATGTTACATGTCTTGAATGCACATGCCAGACATAGAGCATTGTGTGTTTTATCACACTGAACGTTTAACCAGATTAGCTATCGAGCCGTGAAACAAAATAAATATTCATCAAAGTATCAATAATCAATTACTATTTCAAATAGATTCACAACATCATTCGCATAACGACTTGACTTGACATCACACTTAATCGAGGTAGGCCATATGAATAAGACACTGAATGATGAGATTTTGTTAGAAGGACGATGGCAAGATACACAAAGTAATTCTCCAAGAAATGTAGTATCTCACATTGATAGAAACAGAACAGTTTATTACTGTAGTTTTATAGATATTGAGTACGTACAACCATTTTGTAGTGTATGTACGGTAAATTCACACAATCACATAAGATGCATATTCAATAAACCCATAGCTTTGTCTAAATTCATCACATCAACGTCAGAAATGAATCAGTCCATATGGCGTAACATTATAGATTTTCATGAAACTTAAAATAATTGATCAGGTGTTTACGAAAAGAGTATAAGTATTGCCTGCTCTACCGTACAAACGACATCTGAAATGGAATTCCCATTTGGGCTGTTTGATACTACATATAAGTGTATAGGAAATGCATTTCAGAATACTCTAGTCCTTATTTGTGTGGATAGCATTTAATTGAATACTGATACAGAATGCTTTACTGACGTAGCACACTGCTAAACGTGTAGTATGTGATTCTTCTTGCATGAGGTATGATCATTCGACTATCCAAAACGAATGAATAACTGCCATGCATTTCTAACTCTTGTAAGTAATTGCTCGGGATAGCAGATAATATTTGCGATAGCACTGTGAATCGCCTTTGGACTGAACTACATGTCGTCTACGCTACTGTATGAGGATTTGTACGACGCATATATCTGGCATGCTAAAACAGCGTACTATACCACCAAACAAAGTTAAGGACAATCCAAATCCTTCATACTACAATGGTAAATCTGTCATGGCATGTTTAATTACCTCTAATACAACAAACGGATAATGAAGGAGAGAAAAAACAAATCATGACAATCATGGCAGCTGGACCACAGAGATAACAGAATTTCAATAAATATAGCGACAGAACCTTTTCCACATCCATTAAAAATCAATCCTATATCATGAGCATGTGTTTATGAATTACTATCAAATAGTAATGATACCGGGTGTTCGCGAAAAGGTGAGCGTACCATGCCCCACCGGTGGCACCGGTCACAAATACATGTAAAGGCAAGTCAATTATTCACCTAAAAACACGGGAACATTTGGTACAGGTCAAAATAGGGAATTGCATCGGACATCAAATTTGTGACGGGTCTCCACATGTCTACCAGCCACTAGTAAAAGCCACCAGCTCACCGCAACAATGACGTGAACGCAAAGTTTCACGAATATATATTGAACAGTTTAAGGATGGGCTGTAAACGAATCCTACCCCTATTTTAACTCAAGTTCCAGCTTTCTGACTTAACATCACTCAAACAAAATCAATACAATATTCCGGAGTAACAAACGGCACCAGTTCAGCACATTCCTGAACTGTATACATTATTTCATGAAAAATCTTTGTTCCAGAGCGAACTGAAAAAAACCAGAAAGACAAAGCCTTGCTCCCATCACGTCTAATCCTCGATTGAATTGGGAGTAATTGAAATGAATACATATAATTTTAGGAATATGAACACTCAAATGGTAACAATGGGGCACTTTAATGTTTAAATGATGTCTGCTAAATGTCTGCTTCCATGCTTTGTGTCTGGCTGCTTCCAGCAAGTTCAAACTGTTCTTCACTTTGGTCCGGTGACGCACCACCAACTCTAGCGTCCAAACGGGATATTATGACGCCAATTACCTAAAGAATAAGAAAACAATATCAATCGAAACAGTATCATTTGGTTACATTCAAAGGTCTTAGGTCGTTTTTTGGACAAACAAACATAAACATACAATATATTGGTCTGTCGCTGAAAGATTACAAGAAAGAAGACAAACTACATGGTCCGCTGGCACAAAACGATCTTAGCTCGATGGCCAAAACAACTTCAATTGTTTAACAGAATTAAAAACTTCGTATTGCTACAACTGCTTTGTTTAAGTAAGGCATGAACAAAACGAGTAATTTCCATTGGCGTCTAAAAAGTTTGCATGCAATAATGTTATAAAAAAAACTTGGAAAAAATAATGCGTAAGTTCACTCACCAAAATGAGCAGAACGATTGCAGACCCAGCGCCATTTACGATGTTAAACGACCTGAACAACAACGTCAGCAACAGTTCATAACAATCTTAAAAATACATAGAAAGTACTTAAGTGTATTTTCTGCATAACTATTGAGGACAAAAGTGTCAACAAATATAAAACAAGTAACTAATTATCCACATATCTAGGTCGGCAATAATGCACGTACTATTGCAGTGTTACAGTACACAACAGTTACATTTACTTCACAAAACACAAGTTCCAACTCTGAGCGTCTTACAGTTCCAGGAATTGTTGTCCGAATTATATCAAAGACGTTAACACAACCAAGTATGCCTTTTGAATATAAGAGCATTGTCCAAAAAGCATGGATCAAATAAAGGCAAAAGTTTCAAATGTCGTCTAGTGCCTGTGTTTTGTCCTGCTATTACTGCACACATACCAAATTATAATTCAGAATAATGGCTGACTGGAGGACGTATTCCTGCAAGGAATCCCTACAGTAGGATTTACATGGACAACAAACAAAGAGTCGACCCTAATGTTATATCAACCAGTACTCACATTGGTGTACAAGTGAGGTTTTGTCATATTCCTGTACCGTTGATTGCGATAGTTGGGGCGTCCTGCGAAGTAGGTTTGTCCGGTACAGACTGCAATGTCTCCGTCAGGGATGCAACAGCTGTCAGGGACCTTCTTACCTCCTGGTGAAAAGAGTGTCTTGTTTGATGATTATGCATTAGGGAACGAAAGGCCATTGGAACCAAAGAAAAGGAAAGGTAATCACACAGAGAACTAGCATTACTACCTTGTGTTTAACACGTCTTTACACAGAGACGATGGACTAGAGCTGAGCCCAGGAGCAGCATAATATTTTCAAAATCTCGCATATGGACTATCAGTCGTAGTTGAAACACTCGGAATACAATATCACTACAAAAAACTACACACATTGCACCGGACTTTAGGATTCATCATGAACAATAATTAACCCTCTTTCCATCTTTAATATATTTTCAATTGCACATCTCTCTGACTTTTTAAGACTGATTTATATGAGCAAGCTCACAGATACGTGTATAAGATGCGTTTTTGAACTATAGATACTTCCTGTTAGAAATAAATCACATGCCCCATGCAAACAGCCAAAATCACTCCGTAATTTACATCAACATAACCAAGTACTGTATTATCATAGTAAATTATCATTTGTCTGATTATATAGGTATGTATCCTGATGTTATTATACGCATCATTTATACAGCAGCTATAAATCACATTATATAATATATATATATATACATATATGACAGATGACATAATTGTTGTTTTCAAATGTTACTCAGTTTCGGGTCAATACCCAAAATATCAGTCAATACCTGGTGTGATCACCATTAGGAAGTCGCTGGTGTTGACGGGTAATCTGCCGATCTTGTCGAGGTGTGGTGACCCTAGGACGACCGCTCCGAGGAAGGTCATCTGTGGTCTGTGTAGCATTGTATCGATGCAGGAGACGGTAAATTGTGGACATGTTAACATTGAAATGACGGGCAAAATCTTGGACAGACTCACCAGCTTCCAAACGTCCGATAGCCTGGTTTCTCCGAATTTGAGTTAGACGTGGCATTGTTGACCAAGGAGTGGTAGGTCCAAGAATCGGCCACAATTTTATACCCACTACAGTTCGTGCATTTTCGATTTCGCGAGAAATGGGTGCATGATACCCACATATTCATTGAAATGGTGCGTTTTGGCGATTCGTTTTTATGCTGCGTTTGTACTCGGGGCTTCCAAAATGCAACCAAATATATTGATAACACCATCAGGCTTCACTACATACTAAAACTCGTATCAATTTATGGTTCCGTTTTTGTTACCTATTTGCTTAAAACCACATGCGTTTCGTTTGCGCTTGAGTAAAAATATCGTGATTTTTATATGTACGCATATGTATATTGGTTTAAGGGGCGTTTGTATAATAAACTTCTATTGACTTTAATTCATGTTTTCCTCAATATGTTATCCCAACATAACACTTACTGTCCGTTTTATGCAGACATAGATAACACTGTTGTGTTCGATGCAGATCTCGATAATTCTAGGGAATGTGATGATAGTGTGAGGGAATGATAATATAGCGAGGGAAAGCCATGGTATACAGAAGGAACGCTAAACATACAGTGACTGATAGTTACTGAGTGATATCGGTCACGGTACAACTATGGAATAATACAATTTGAAACGTCTTGTCACAGTCGTAAGAGTTTCGCCGCCCATTCCACACATTAATGATGTCATGATCAAGAGTTTGTTTCTTTATAATTTAAATGTGAAAATGATCTTTCTTCAATCGCTATGTGTTTAGCCAAAACTGTAAATTGAAGACGGAACCCTAGCCAATGAATGTTTAGCAACAATGTTAAACCTGTAGGTCATCGGACAGAGAGTTTCTGTATGCTTTGTCCCTTTTATGTCAGGTGCAGAGGATCCCTGGCGCAAAGGAAAAGGCGTGACAAATGTAGGCAACATCACATTTATTGTGCAGTAAGAGAAATGAAATAAGAACTGATTTCTTTGCATAGGACTATTAAAAAGTACATATTTTCAAAAGTTGTTGATTACATGTATCTTTTAATCTGTTTAAATTCATCTGAACTATCTCCTTTGACAGATAAAGATAATTACAAACACTCCAACGAGATCGAGTGGTCTGGTTCACTGACTTGGTTAATGCATGCCATCGTATCCGCGTTTTGTAGATCGATGCACGTGATGTCAATCCCTTGATTGTCAGATCCAGATTTTATTATTTACAGACCTCTATGCAGCGGTGAACAACAAACAAACAAACAAAACAGTGCTCCGTATGTAAAATATTAAGTATTACATGTAAACATGTAAAATGATATATTACCTAAAATAACCAACTTAGCTGAGACTTTAAGTTGAACTTGGCAATACTATTGTTTTAGGAAACCTGCGTTATATGAACAAGTGCACCATAAGTCCATGCATCTCACGTGTACAATATGTGTTGCCAGAGAATATTTTCAATCCCAGTGTCAGATCACCTTCCGCCTAAAAAATCATAACGTGGATCCAAAGTAATTTGTGATATAGTATTAGTGCTCTTATGTTAGTCTTCTAATTACTCCTGTATTCTCTCTTTCACATGAGGTTGAGTGCATGATTGTCTTTCGTGACTACATGTAAGCGGCTTAACTATTTGATTATGTTTCTGTCTAGATGTTTCTGGAGAGCATAGTAGGTGAATACATATATCTTCGCATCACTCTTATATTTATTCGAATAAATAAATTATAAATGTGCATGTATGTTTCTGTAGTACTGAGCAGCTTTAGTTCAAACCTTTGCATGTATAACAATGCCCGTTTCTCATTTCTGACTAACAAAGTTGTATGTTAAGATCCCTGGTTGAATGCATATTGCCAATCACTGTTTGATTTATGCATTACTTGGTGTAATCAATGATTTCCAGTAATTCTTTCATGTATAAGATCGCCGCTTGTTCTTCCCTTTGCGCCCAATCGAAACTCTTTAGGCGGATAATCAAGACGGGTTATTCCCTGGAGTTGACGTTTTATTTTTATCCAACTCTACTCGGCACGTTTTGAGGCTGCTTGTTGTATGTGTTTACATATACTTTATTCTGGATGAAGTCATAGTGTTTGTCGTCAGTTCTTGTGTCTGTGTCCAGTCCAGCATAGTCATTGTCCTGAGTGTTGCGCCCATCAGTGCGTGGCAGTTCTGATATAGATGTGTAGTTGTCTCCTAGTGCCATGTTGGGGTCAACTGTATCCCTTCTGTCGCCATCCTTCACATTGCCACGTGTCCATGCCAAACTGCAACAACATATCTTGCTGTGGTCTTCTATGATATTTTGTAAGTCAAGAGTTATTTAAGAACTAACTTCAATATTAGTCAGACGGGAATAAAAGTAAAATACGCGTGGCTAATGTATAGAATGTGTGCACACGGTTTCAAGCAACACAAGTTACTTAGCCACTTTAAGTTTATTTATTTAACACTTACCTTCCTTTCCTGAGCAGGTATAGATGTACAGCACCTCCCAGCAACAGTGTTAGGACGACACCCACAACCAAGCCAATGACAAGACTAATGCTGTGTATGAGGGGTGTATTATTGTTCTTTGTTTCTGTAACTAAAACGTACAGGCTATTGCAAATATTGCAAATGGCATATATAAGAATTTATTACCACACCATCTTTTTATTGACTCCCTCTATTTATGCCTTGACCAAGAACACAAGTGCCATTCGCCAGAGAATAACCAGTCTCCATTTTCACACATGCTGTGGTGTTCCGACCGATTCTTGTTGTGTCAGGTTAAATGAAGGCTGCACAAAATCCAGCACGACACAGGTCAACGGAAATATACAATACAAAAGACAATACAATTTTCACAAAGATTAAATGTTTACAGATGACCTTGTCCTGAGTCATACGTGCTGCTACATTGTCAACAATTCTCAAATGAAGGCAACGTTGGACATTCTTCTAACGCTGCTATTTTGTTTTGATGCAATACAATTAACTCACTGATATGTCCCTAGTTCTTTTCAAGTCGATTCGAATATTGTCAAAACTGTATTCTATACACGTATTATTAGATTATTATTAGAATTATTGTAGTTAATCATTGGTGCCCTTGAAACCCGAAGATGACTTCTAAACATTATTTGGATTCAAGACTTATATGTGTATTTTTGACAACATAATATGTGTGTTGTTCATCTTCGTGTCCCTAAACGTCATTGCTCAAAAACAATTATGTATACTAAATTCGCTTCCTTTTCCGCCTGTGTAGTGTCATTCTAAATTATGAAGTTAAACATGCATTCATTTTTCATGAGTGGGAAAACTGACAAAGTATGATCCTGGCTATACCATGAGCATGTGTTCATGAATCACTGTCAGATGGTGTGATACCAGGAGCTCGTGAAGGTTTTAGCTTACCCTGCCCCATCAGTTGCACCCCTTGCAAATAAAGGGAAGGGCAATCGTACACCTAGACAAACAAGGGCACATATGGTACAAGTCAAAATAAGGAATTGCATCGGACGTCATTTGGACATTGATACATTCAGTTTGGAAATGTCCTCAACATGACTACCTGTAAACGTTTTGAACGCTCTACAGAAGCCTCGACTGTTTTAACCTTGATTGTTTTAACCAGAGATTCTTGTGTGATAGATGAAGCCAACATTTATCAAAGAAAATATCTGCTTGTAAAACATATTTGCTATTTGAAAGATCTAATCCTATTGTTTATAAATATGATAGTTATGTTTAAGACGTTATTTCAATAATGCATTTACAACTTAATTAAGTTCGTTGTAAATATAAAAAAATGTAAGCTAACACATTCATAACTTTCAGATTAAAGGACCAAGGAAGCGAAGATTTTACGGTTTTTGGCAAATATAATAGTTCATAAAATCCACTCTACTATTTCTTCTTTATTTTCATTGTTTACGTAATTGGAAAATTAGTTTAAAAAGTATTACAAACATTATCTATTTTCACCCATTTCCCAATAACAGTGGCTGTCCGCTCAGTGACATGAAGAAATACCTCCGTTTTCGAAGCTTCGTATGTATAACACGTTCGTTGAAGACTGACATATGACACATAGATGGACAGCTTGTTTCTTCATCTACACGCTCGTAACATCAACTGAGATCGTTTCGTAGCTATAACATACGATTTCATTGGATAAAGTAATGGTTCCTTATGACGCTTTCTTGCCGAAGTCTGCTACAAGGTTTGTGGTTGGTCAAACTTGAGTACCATGTGTACATGTTTTCTCTTACCATGTGTACAGTCTGTTCCGTCCCATCCAGCCGTACAGCCCCCAACACACTTTCCTGTAACGTGGTCACAGCTGGAGTTGTCTCCCTTGCAGTTTCTATTTGGGCATATTTGACTACAGTTTGCTCCATAGCGGTCAAATTCACATACTGAAAGATAAAACAATGAAATATAATACTGTAGTAAGTCGTATAGCGGCTGAATTATGAAAGTTATAACGTAGAATGGACTGAGAGATCATACTTTATTTTAAAACAGTCAGTCAGCATGTACGTTTGTGACTGACCTGTATCACACGTTTCTGTTGCCCGTGCATTTCCTCCAGGTCAACAAGTGCCTTGCATTTGCACATACATGTATGTGTGATGGGTGAGCTCACCCTTGCGCGCACATCATGGTATCATCACTAATTGGTACATGTTTACAATTACGATATCGACAGAATTGAAGGATAGACTAACCGTTCAGTAGACATCTCGTATTTTTAAGGAAATATTTATATTGAGAGAAAACTATACGAGCATGTATTTTCCGTTGGTTGTGACTACAAATGGTGTGAACAAAATATACGATGTCTGTCCATATCATGAGACCAATGCCACAAAGACTAACATATATATATTTACAATATTGGTCTCTGAATCTGTATTGGAATCAAACAAATGCATTTATTACGAAATGGAAAACTATATCCAAAACAGTATTTCTCTTGTTTCCATGTTAAACTATTCCGGAATTTCTCGACAAGATTTCGATGTTGTTCGCATGACCTACCCTCTCTTTTTAAAAGAGAAAAACGTATTTGTAAATTATGCACCCTCAACAACAATGAGATGAATATTACTTTTATATGTCCATTTTATGTAATATTAAGGCATAGTAATATATATTTGAATATTACTCTGTCAATCCCAATTTCTTTAAATTCACATCTCTGCTAAACAGCTCGAATTGCTTACTTTGCTTACTATAATAAAAAAATATCGACGTTTTTCAATGCAATGAGACACCGGACACGTATTATGTCATTGACTCTACTCCTCTGAATGTACAATTTATAAATGTGCTTATAGGCCTCTGGCCTCCTCAGTACGGAAATAAAGAAATGTGTGTCGCGCTCGTTTTACGAAACGTGTGTCAATATAATTGTATTTCCTGAGGGAGAGCTAAAAGGTACACACGCGAGTGTAATACTTTCTGTATTACCAATTGTTTCTCAGTCCCTTTTAGCTCCTCTTAAGAAAAAATGTACTGATCACGAGGACTGTATTAGAAAACCACAATTGTCTTAAACTATGACGTCCTTTCTAGTGTGATGTCATTTCGACTTTACATCACAAAAACATTGGAATGACGTAAACAATAACGTCAACATGACGTACGCAATGTATTTGAGCGCGTGAAGGGAGCATATCCGTTTTTTAATAACACTGTTATATCTAACCCTATGGGTAATAAACATGTTTGTTATGCCTCAAAGTGAGATTATTATAATTTTCTCCGAGCCTAATATGACACCGTATATAAGGCAACTAAAGACACCAAAACTAATAGTATTGCACCATTGTTTAGATTGAATATTAAACAGCAACACATATTGGTGCTAGTATTTGTGTTATAGATGCGGACACTTCTATTAAAATGTAAGTCCACATGAAAGAGAAACGCATTTGAAATTGTTACAATTTCGAAAATATATTTCAGTATATACGGATACATATATGCTTATATTTGGCATGCCATTTGAAATGTCTTATGCTTTCAACGACATATGTCTCTTCGTCTGACATCAGGTAATCAGTACAGACATTGAAACCACATAAAGTGATATTATAAACGTGTATTGATATGATTGGAAACCTGATTCATCTCTTACTCTCTGTACAGGCATGGTTAGTCCATCCGTCACTGCATCCAGTCAGACAGGTACCGTTGTCATGGTGACAGGCGCTGAGGTCAATACACTGACCACAAACTCCAGTACAGTTGACACCAAATGTACCAAAACTGCAAACTGAAACATACCCACATCTCGTGCACATAATTACTCCCTTAAGCATGTCTTAAGTTTCCTTTTAATATTGTATTAAGGGAGTGAGTGAATGAGTGAGTTTGGTTTGACGCCGCCTTTAGCAATATTCCAGCAATATCACGGCGGGGGACACCAGAAATGGGCTTCACACATTGTACCCATGTCTGGAATCGAACCTGGGTCTTCGGCGTGACTAGTGAACGCTTTAACCTATAGGCTACCCGACAGCCCTTATATTGTATTAATCAATGCATAAATAAATATGTATGTGCAGTTAATAGGTATATAGAGAATACTACACTCATTCTCATTACACTCAGGTTCGTAAAAAATGGTATCTAACGAGAATGAGTCTGGTATTTTATTTATTACCCTCGTTAAGGTGCAAATACAAAACAACTTTCGTTCGTTGACAGACCAAACTGAAACCGTTTGCAAAATCTGGTTGTGCATGACTATTGATATATGCCCAAATATGGGCATTGTTGACATTTCTATGCATACGCATAACAACATGCGCCTGCAGTTGTGTTTGCAAACAAAACAGCACCGACGCCCAAGATCCTTTTGAAAGAATTTCTTCAACTTATGGTAATTCAAGCGCCATGTCACTTGTACGCAGGACACCTATAAGAAAATTTGAAAAGTCGCATTAGGCCCGCGCGCACTGTCGGGGTCCCGTCTGTGCAATCACAATGGTTCGGTTTCCTTGATCTCTCAGCTAAATTTTATAACATGTACGTACCATTTTGGAAGAGGGAAATCAGAGTGTTTCTGTACCACTCTTCACTGAAGATGTGAAAATCAACAAAGTCAAGTCGGCTTGCATGTCAGTGACAGCTTAGAACGATCGAAGGGCAAGGTCACCACCGGAATAGGTTTTACGCTGGAGATAGGGAATGCTCACATTTGACATATCAATTGCCACTTAAGCAGAAGCGAGGCACACTTCTAAGGAGTTTTCGAATCGGAAATGTTCGCTTTGAGTGATCTGGTCTTGCAGTCGTAAACAAACAACTCCCGAAACAGTGCCATAAAATACGCTTCTAAGGGGACCCTGATGGCACAACCGGATCATCCCAAGTAAGTCTAGATATCTGTCCAGATAGTATAAAACGGCTTCATTTCATCACGCTTCTGCTTTTACGTTAAATCAGATTGAAAGTTGCTAAAATGGTCGGGTGCGTCACGCTCATGGGGACCCTCTATCTATTGATCGCTAGTCGTACATTGTAAACGGATATAGCTCGATTAAATAATGTCTGTAGAATCTCTTTGCATAATATAATCGGAATGCAAACCGAATATGACGCGTGTGACAACCTTCTTTTGTTTAATAAGGTGTTTGTAAATATCTCTCGCTCTCATGAGATTGCTTCAGTGTTGCTTTCTAGTTAAAAAATGAATGATGTCTCTTTGTGACAGAGGTCACGGTTATCCAATCAAAAAGAAACAAAACGAGGTCAACCTAGTTGTACGACACACGTGTGACGTACGGATTCAGTATCTTACCACTTGTATCTTCACCACGTGGGTAATAAACATGTATCTTACTCTCGGTACAATCTGTTCCAATCCATCCTGCCTTACAGCCGCAAAAACACTCCCCTGTCACGTGGTCACAGCTTGAGTTGTCTCCCTTGCAGTTTCTATTTGGACAAATGTTTCTACAGTTTGCTCCATAGCGGCCAAATTCACATACTGAAAGATAAAACAACGACATGTAACTCGATCCTAGCTTGAATGAAAAAGCCATTATGAAACTTGTATGGACTGAGAGATCATACTTTATTTTGAAACAGCCAACCTGCACGGACCCGTATCACACGTTTCTGTTGCCCAACCAGGTAGACAGACTCCACCAGGACAAACACCGCTCACGTAGTCGCACACCTCGCTGTCACAGTGGCAGTAGTTGTCACAGTCAGCACCGAAAGTACCATTGCTACATACTGTTAATAAATGAAGTTATTTCAAGTACAAAACAGACGAACAAAGTAATATGCTCAACACACTTTAATGTCTCGTTAATACGAATATGCTATTTCGAATCAATATCAGACATACTGAATTGTTATAGACATGGCTGACGGAAAACGAATATAACATTCTGGCTTGTACGTTTAGGGGTATGTGATTTTGTTTGGAGACTGGATATATTATTAGTCAGTTGGCCAGGGGTGAAAAACAAGATTTTCGTTCCCACATTTTCCTGTATACCTTAAACCTTTTCTATTGCATGAAGGAGGTATCTGTACACAATGTTCATTGGCTAGTAAGCTCGCAAGTGTGTGCAGGAATATTCAGGGGGTCAAAATTGCATAAATTGAAGGGAAAATGCATAATTTGACAAAATTGGCTGTAACATTTTTATTAAGTCATTAAACTATCCCAATTATGTCTTTGATTACAGGTACTATGTTCGGTTATCTGAATTTGGCAAACGATTTGTTTCATTTAATTGTTATTTTAATTCTCATTGGAAACATTGGTAAAATTCAGGTTTTTTACTTCATTTTCAAATCTTGTGAGTAGGTAAAACACTAATTCCATTGAATTGTGACAATAAAACCACTATAACTGGGTATTAAAATCTGCCTTAACCATTGTACTGTCCTATACAAAAAACAAAATGAAAGTATATTACATAGGGGTTGAGATATTGTATACAGTGTTACCCCACCCCCCAAAATCCAATTTTGACGAAAATTGCTTATTGAGAAATGGTGGTAAATGATGTTGCTGTAGTGGATGATTAGGATAATTGCAACAATGCTTAAAAAAAACGAAATAGTAAACTCATAAAGAAAAATAATGTTTCAAGTTTTTCTGTGAATTTCAAGATGGCCGCCATTTTGACCTGTTTTCAAAATCAAGATCTTATATAGTTCTTCAACATGGTCATGTAATATATCATATGAAAGCTTATTACATTGTCTTTTCAATGATGTACATAATTCACTGACTCCTGTGGTTAATTGATCCCCAACAATGAAAAAAGGAAATATTGAAATCTAATTTCTCTCGCAGCTTCAACCCAAACCCAAATTTAGATTTAGATTAAAATGGACATCTTTTCACTCAAAATTGTAGATATACTGCACTTTTCTTCAACATGGTCATTGTCATTCACAACAGCCACAATACCACCTCATCTTGCCGGGTACCAATTTTACTGCTGAGTGAACAGAGGCATATTTGAACGTATTCAATTGCCTAAGGAGAATCCACATGTGCTGTATTTGCGGCGGTGTGGGGCAGGACCGAAACGCATGAGACGCTCAGGAATCTAGCTGCCGAACGGGGTAACTGCGACCGACGTTCCTAAAGTGACCTGTCCGCAGGACCATGTACCGTCACGTGTACGCCGTCATGCAGTCAGGAGTTGGAATAAACATACTCACATGGTCTATCTTTATACACTTAATACAACATTCAACAATTTCGGTTCTTGTTTTTGACATATTGAATATTCATGCTTCCCAACCCATTCAATAAACTGTTTGTTAATATTTTCTTCAAATCAGTTTTACTTCACAACGGCACATAGAGCAGCACAGTATCCATTCCATTCATATGTGAGATCCAACCATGCTTTAATATCGACAATTCAACTACAAATATTATGTTTATGCAGGAAGAATATAAATTCGTTGGTAGTTATACAGATGTTAGCGTGGAAATAATTCATCACCATACAGTCACAGTCATGCAGAGTTTATTAATAATAGAAGTGAACAAAAGACATATTGCTCTTACCGTCAACCTCCACTTCACAAAAATCCATTATAGGCACAACTATGTGTGCTGGATCGTTGTTGACAGTGATGGTGTACAGGACCAGATAGCGCCCTTCACCAGAACATGTGGCCGTCAAAACATCAGGTATGTCTGTCCCGTCTCCATTCCCTGTCACGTTGTAGCAGTTGACTCCATCAGTTGGGGAGGCTTCAGTATCAGCGATGTAGATCTGGATACCATTCCGATGAACTGAATCTGATTAACATAAGTAGTTCAACATTATCAAAGAAGATCATTGAAGCGTCAGAATGCTCAGCCTGTTGAGATAAACTGAAAAAGAACATAACGTTTTGTTATAATATTTCTTGCACATGGCCGATTTGGTAGATGTTTGTTAAATGGAAAGTTCATCCTGAATTTATTAATCTTCATAAGTGTCTGACACATATAAACATGTTCTATTTACAACAAAAGCTGAATCATAAACAAAACTTAGTTCTATATAACCATACCCTGACAGTGGTTTGAAGGTACGAAATAGTTAATAGTTGGTCAGAATATGTACGGCCATGTGCCACATAGACCACGACACTATTGCAAGCGATGTATCAACGTAAAATGGACATTGATAAAATGTGGCCACATATTTGTCTTTGGACTCACAATCTCTTCTGAAGTATATTGTGACGTGATGAAATCTGATTTCCTCCCCAAGATCGACCCTCCACCATGCAGCTTTCATAGAGTTGCCCCAGTCTGAATGAAAGCAGCTAAGAAAGTCCTCTGCACTGTTGTCTCCATTAACAGCTTTGCCTGCCCCCATATTACCATAGACTGAGCTGGCTGATGCGTGTTTGTGGAGTGCTATATTGCCTGTGATAAAATACATGGGGTAAAGCATGAATTTTTTTATCCGAATCGTCTGATGGCGAGGAATTGAAGTATACCAACAAATACCAATTTAAATTTGCTTGTTTGATACATGTACCTGCTGTGTTCGATGTAGAAAATTGAAATCATAGAGCATTGAACCTAAGTCGATCTTATTTGGTAGCAACCAGTGCAATCTACAATCAATTAGACAAGATATAAGTCGGAAACTAACTCAACAATCTCTATATAATATTTTTTCCAAGTGTCGATTCAACAAAATATGAGGCATGGTAATACAAATAAAGAGGTATTCTGAAGAAATATATACAATTTTGCAATAAGTACATAAAATAGAGGTTTTTGCATTTAAAAGTGAACGTGGCCTTGTTTGAAACCCTAAACTTAATATTATTTGTTATGTTTTCTGTTAATTAACCCCTGCTTTTAGAATAACCACCGAGTGAAATTAATGTTTCAAGTTCAGAGCTCAAGTGGAATATTACCTATCATTCTTTTAAAGATACATATCAGCTGCTTGTATCGTTTGGTATGATCCCCGGACCTTTCGTGCTCGGGGTGGACGTTCTAGTGAGGCGGTCAGGTAAACTTTGAAAACAACGTTGCTGTCACAGTGTCCGAATATTGACCGGACTTGATCCAGATATGGGACAGACGAAACCAGGGATGACAACAAAACAAGCGAAACATTTTTTCTGGACAAGTTTTATAGGCTACCCAGGTTCAGAATAAATGAGAGTTCGACCCTTTTAGACCGGTAAATAACTGTCGACAATGGACGACTGATTGGACTTGTTAGAAGAAATGGTGGAATGAAAACACCTCTACATTTGGTCCATGGGTGTGCACTGAGTCCAGGGAATGGGCATCATATGTGATTAGAGACCAGTGTAATTGATAGGAAACATGACACTATGCAGAATGATGGAGAACATGTGCGTATGGGATCTTTGGAGGACTTGTCAGGCACGCTCGTTGACTGGACATAGTAGATGACAGGATTTAGATGATATTTTGCTGTTGGAATTCCCTCGTCATCAGGGGTGGTCGGGTAGCCTGGTGGCTAAAGCGTTTCGCTCGTCACGCCGAAGACCCGGATTTGATTCCCGATATTGGTCAGTGTGTGAAGCCCATTTCTTGTGTCCTCCGTCGTGATATTGTTGGAATATTGCTAAAAGCGGTGTAAAACCATACTCACTCACACCTACATGGTCGAAAAGCTGTTCATAGACAGGACGTTCTTGTGACAAGAAACTTGCATTATCTTATGCGCTGGGACACCATTGTCCGATACAGTTTTGATCATTCCGTTTCGAGCGCAATTGTTTGTCAAACGTTTTATATGTAAATAGTCCAGCCATGGTCTTCATGTTTCTGCCAACAGATTGCCGTTGATACAGTGTATTTCCACATTTTACACCAAACCAGACAATTGCGAATGAACATCCCGATACAACTTATTAACAGCCACGGTACAACTGGATTGATCACCCTGCCTTGTTTCTGACTGGCGTTCCAATTGATGTAAATATTCCTTATTATGCGTATCAGTCCAAAGTAGAATGTATTGTTCCACTGCAATGTGTTTAACATTGCATCTGGTGCTGGTATCAGCTCGCTGGAGTAAGCTTCCTTTCCTTGTTTTTTTCAATGATTTTTCTTTGATTCCATCACCTTCCTGAGTTTAGCAACTATTCTTCGAGCAGATGTTTGAAATAATGTGGCTTAAGGTAACGCTGCATGTAACCCTTGATCATGATCCCCTTCAAAATTGACGGTTCGTTATCTGAACTGTCTGATTTCCGTGCCAACATTATCAATTTTTAAAGAATAATGTTTTGTTTCACTGGGACCAAATGATTTTGCTTTGTTTTTTATGTATAAACTTGTGAACTAAATTCGTTTCAAGTTAAGTCATTGTCATTGAGTTATCGTTTTCATTGGCAGTCGAGAACATCGATATCATCATTCACGAAGGCAAATCTGCCTGTACTGTCCACTGCTTGGATTCGGGGATATCAAAAAGTCGTGAAACAAAAAGTCCTCAAGCACAGACGCTGTCAAACCCGGACTTGACTGAGTTGATCTTGGCATACAAGCAACATTCGCAACCTGATCGTGGAACGTCAATCTGGCCACATGCAGTTTCAACAACAAAGACATTAAAAGTGTTCAGAGGTACAATTATACGAATACCTCTTCCTGTCAGATCTTCGTCCACTTTAACGAGGTAATTTACTGTGACGGGTGTCAAAAGGTTAGCCTTGTTTGTTTGCAAACAACGCAGACGTAGTTTGGATTTTGGTAATTAAATTTATTGTAAACTAAAATCATGTGAATACTTTGTTGATTATAATGTGAAATCAAGTGGTTGATTTGAAACTATGTTTCCTTCTTGTCTTCAAAATATCGATACGTAAAACATGTGAATTTGTGAATATGAATGTGAATGTTGTGAATGAACATGTGTCGTCCAGTGACAATGCAACTTTGAGAATCACAAATTGCAAATATCAAAATGATATTACACTTCATATTTGAAACCGTATGGGTAATAAATCTAGTTAGTATTCAATGCCTGTGAGTTTAGTCTTATGGAAATTATTGAAAAGTGACATAATTTATTTAATTTGTCGTGCACAAAACAAAGGAACCAAAGGGTGTTTATGAAGTGTTCTTGAAATTTAAATGGTATAGATGTAAGAAATGGCATACCTGTTCGTTTCTGCATAATATGATTGTCAAGAATAAAAAAGGTTACCTTTATGACATGTCAGTCCTGACCAACCTGGGTCACAATCTTCAGGTCTACAGCCAATGGTAGCATCACATTTGTCCAAAGGACAGTGACACTGGTTACCACAGTCGTAGCCATATGTGCCACCAGGGCAGACACCTGCAACATAATATACACAACAACAAAAGTTCCTTTGACATCAATATTTTAGCGTATTTTTCAAACAAGTAAAGTCTGGTTTTCAATATTGTAGTACATGTATGGAATCAAGCCACAAAAACGCAACTGCTAGAGAAAAGCATGCATATCATGCAAAAGTTGACTTTTATGCAAGCTCCATGCATTTCACTCCCCAAGAATGTGTAAGAAAACGTGCGTTAACGGGATTCCTTATGCATTGTTCAGCATCGTGCTGACAACAACCACTCAGAAAAACAGCATAATTGCGCAATTATTCGACATTACCAAATTCCACGCCTGTCCGAAAATGAGCGTTTGCGAGCCATTAGTATGCTTGAAGCAGGATCGAACCAACGTGATGTTGCAAGACAACCTAACGTCCACAGAAACACCATTTGGTGTTTATGGCAACGTTGGCAACAGACTAATGCAGTCAGAGATCTCATCCTCGGAGTGGCAGGCCACGCGTAAGCAATAATCGACGAGACAACTGGATTCGAACAACACAACTACGAAATCGATTCCAGCCAGCAGCAGTGACACCAAAGCACGTCTACAGTGGCCCAGACAACGTCTAAGCTGAACCGCCATGCAGTGGGAACAGGTTCTATTCACTGACGAGTCTCGTTTTCACATCAGCCACAGTGATGGACAGATTCGAGTGTACCGACGTCGAGGTGAACGTTACGTCAATTATTGTGTCATGGAAGAAGATCGGATCGGGGGCGGCGGCGTTATGGTATGGGGTGGGATCACAGCAAGACTGAGGACCCGTTGGATAGTGGTAGAGTGAATCTTAATGGACAGCGCTACCGCGACGAGATCATCGGCCTGTTGTTCTCCCGTTTTTTGTCGCCATGGCCCAGGCATTACCTTTCATCATGACAACGCCCGGCCTCATATTGCTCGATTTGTTCTGGATTCTCTTCAACAAAACAACGTGAATGTCTTCCCCTGGCCGGCTCGCTCACCTGCTCTCTCACCAATCGAGCTCGTGTGGGATGTGATGGATCGGCGCCTTTGACGTCAACCATGTGTTTCACAGACCAGTATTTGCTCCAGCAGATGTGAACAGATATCCCACCGGACTTTGTGCGACACCTGGTCCATTGCATTAAACGATGATGTGTTGCTTGCATCACAACCACAGGTGGACACATACGCTATTGATTTGTAAACTGACATTTTGGCATGTTCATTTTTGTTATGAAATCACGCATATTCTTTAGTCAGTATGGCAAATTAAACCATTTGAACACGTACAGGAGTCTTTTATCTGATACAAACCGAAATTGTTTCAGATTCTGTAACAAACATAACTTAGTATTAAATCTTATTCAATGTCACAGGAACTTTTGTTGTTCAGTACATGAGTGTAAAATATATCCAACAGTTGTGGTTGTTGTATGTACAGTGAGGACAGCTGATCAACACTGAACACGTATGTACCATCCGAACAGCTGCCTGTAAAAGAAGTATTATATCAGAGATAGTCAGTAACATCAGGACAGCTGCCTGTAACAAAAGTATTACATCAGTGATAGACAGTGACATCAGGACAGCTGCCTGTAACAGAAGTATTATATCAGTGATAGACAGTGACATGAGGACAGCTGCCTGTATCAGAAGTATTATATCAGTGATAGACAGTGACATCAGGACAGCTGCCTGTAACAGAAGTATTATATCAGTGATAGACAGTGACATCAAGACGGCTGCCTGTAATAGAAGTATTATATCAGAGATAGACAATGACACCGGTAGACGTATATACCATCAGGACAGCTGCCTGTAACAGACGTAAAATTGAGGTAGACAATTGTGTTTGTTTATGTATGTATCAACACGCTTAATCAACGTGAGAGTAACTCAAGATACGTAATCACTATCTAACATACAATTTGATTAAGGTGAGGTGAGGTGAAATTGTGTTTAACGTCGCGTCGATATAGCGACGTGCATGCATGTGTATGTGTGTGGCTGCTTGTACTAGTCCGGACTGATGCCGATTTATAGTGCTAACTCACTGAGATACCATGCCGCAGTTAAACATGAATACCCAACTCAGACACAGTATACTGACTCCGAGCCAACCAGTCCTTGTTTTAGCCCCTTAATGCCGAGCGCCAGACAGGGTTACACCAAGTACAATCTTTTAACGTCTTTTTGTATGACGCGGGCGGGGATCGAACCCCGGACCTTCCGCTCCCCGGGCGGACTCTCTACCACAAGACCACGGAGGCGGTCTCAATTTGATTAAACTTGTAATAATGTAGCTATGATATGACTGGATAACCAAAGAGATAAAAGAGCACGATGGCCAAATGAAACTGATAACACTTAAGCACATTTCCCCATGACATAGTGGCCACATTCGATTGAGGCAATGCCAGCAACACTTATTTACAGAGAAAGGTTAATTACTATTTAGTCCTCTAGTCACTGAAGTCATCTTGGTGAAAACAAGCAAATCGTATTCATCTTCCAATACTCTTCTACATACTCCTCACAACACACGACATACAACTGCGCAAAAACAGGTAACTGTTTGAATGTTCTTGCAATATTAGAGTATATAGAAAACATTTCGTAACATTGCATGTGTTATCTGTTCTTATGTTTCAGGAGACATGTTTCTGAAATCCTCCACTATTTGCTTGTAAGTTTGCATTTGAATTCCCGTCTCCTTCGAATGGAATTTCGAAAAAGAAGTATTTTCCTTTAGCGTACAAGTGATCAACAGTAAAATGTATTATTCACAGCAAAATGGGAACTAATTGTATTGCAGTTTTCAGTTAAATGCCATTTTACAAGCGGCTCGTTATTAATGATAACCGTTTATTTTGTAAGGACTCTATAACCAGAGATTTTAATATTATGAGGGTTTGAGGGAAGTGGGGTGTGAGACCTGAACAACTCATTATGTGTCACACTTGTCTCTATACCTGCCTACTGAAAGTAACCACATGATTTCAAAATCAATAAACACACGATCTTCTCACTCGATTTCCATGTCCAGCGATCATTTGATTGCCTGGTTTATGCAAGTGCTTTTGTGCGGCATCAGACACTTCCTTGTTGAAACAAACTGTGTGAGTGGCGGGTACTACCGGTCGGGCAGGACATGCTTACACCTTTCGCTGGCGCCTCATGACATCACCGATTTACGGTGATCCATTAATACAATGTTCAACATTGTTTTGCATTTTATACCCACTGGGGCCTGTTTCGGCGGATAATCGAGACATACCCACTGGGGCCTGTTTCGGCGGATAATCGAGACAGGGTATTCTCTTTAAATGTTGATAATAATACACATCGATATTTATTATGTTTCTTATAAGTAATATAACTTTTTCAATTGTTTTATTATGGTAATATCAGGATAAATAATATTAATTTGTCGTCTTAGCTCGGGCAGCGTGACATGGTATGATGCCCAACTTGGACAGAATGTGAACTCACATCGGTAGTGAAAAGACGAAAGTAGTTATTGAGTATGTCGAGCCACCAGAACGCGGGCTATGGCTGAAGGTATGTCAGCGCTAGGGGTTCAGGTCACACATGTATTCAGCTGTAAATCACAACCCTGTGACATGCCCTCTATTACGACTGAAAATATTACCTCATGTCTCGATAACGTTACCAGCCACTTACACAAACGTATAACCAATATGTGTCCTTTTAGCGCACTCGAAGGAGGGGGACACACAAATAAACTCATCAGTCTCCAGGTGACGATAGTGTTGCCTTGGTGACATGTGTACACAAGAATATGTATACTGTAATATGAAAACATATCACACAGTTCACACTGTATTGGTGCCACTGAATCTTTTAACCGGTAGCACCTTGGGGAAGTCATTGCAACTACTGATGCCCGAGTTGTCTGTAAAACAATGTATACACCTCCCCCATACTGTTCATACTGTGTCACCACCCACTACATCTCATGTGCGTTTATGTGAATGGCAATACAAAGCACAACAATGGTGCGCTCACCTTTTCGCGAACAGCTCGAGTCATCTCTATTTGATAGTGATTCATAAATACATGCTCATGATAATGTCGGAATCGCACAATCGACCTTTTTATGGCAGATATTTCCTTTGAATGTTAAGAGGGTTTTGTCGCTTTTATTTACTCCACTTTCAGCAATAGTCCAGTATTGTTATTGAAGGGTGTGTGCGTGAGTGAGTGAGTATGGTTTTACGACGCTTCCAGCAATAATCCAGCAATTTCACGGCGGGGGACACCAGAAATGGGCTTCACGTGTGGGTAATCGAGGCGTTGGTGTGAAGAGCTATCCCAACCCCCTAAAACTTGATTTTTACCACATGTGTGGTGCAAGTATTGCAGGAGCTGCTGCCCTATATTCGTGGCATGTGCAGGTCTGAACATAATCAACGGTGTGCAGAAAAGGTCCACTTATCCTTCAATTAGAGATTATTGATCAATCAAGAACAATATGTAATTGGGGGTAAATTATTTGGGTGTTACGAAACACTTGTCCATGTGTATATTATTAAGGTTGTACAATAGAAGCTCATCAGAAAAAATAAATATTTTCTGACAGTGTAGTGCCTGTACTCCTTTAGAGAAGTGGCAACACACTGTCTTAACATTTTCTGGTTTACTCTGAATGTTCTTATGTATTGACTTCAGTTTATCAGAACATAAGTATAATGTGCAACTGAAGCTCGCACAGAATACACACACGCACACGCACACGCACACGCACTCGCTCACACACACATACACACACGCGCACACGCACACATACGGACACACGGACACACAGAAATAGCTAAATGTAAACAGCAACATACTTTAACTAATATGATTATGTTATACAACGAACAAAGAAATATTTCCATCAGGATTCCTGATCAAACCGAAATATATGTTTTTTTTAAATTGCCTTTTAAATACATATTACTATGAGCTGAGGAAAATCAATGTATAACATGGTCATCTAACAAGATAATACCATTACCTGCCACAATGTCCAGCATGCAGACACAGAGCAGCACCCCGAGCACGGAGACCTCCATGTTGCCGAGTGAACAAACCAGGAAGTATATTGTTGTGTCCTCATGCCCACTAACCCTTAAGACAGAGTGTTGAATAAACAGCCATCACATTAACTTTCCAATTTACCAATTTACATTCTGTTACTTCCCGCACATATGTAAGACACTTTCCGATCACTATCGATTTGGGCGTTTCTACAAACTAAACAAGGCAAGGCATGTAGTTTTCGGTCATGTACATGTGGAAGATGTGATAATGCTTTGTTTAACCACTTCAGTCCCTACTTGTCAGCCTGCTCATAAATATAACGACAGGTAGTTGACTTGACAGTGAGCTAGTAATAAGTCTCATCCCTCATAAAGTAATATAATCACCTGCCTTTCTTCCTTCGCATATCATATGACAACATATAAAGTGATTTTAGCAGCGTGTTTTCCATTTAAATAATGTATATTATATATTAGATAGAAGAAATGAACAACGCAATCTTGGGCGAACAACATATTGCGTGTTTCTAATATATGACATTGTACTTCAAGTCATAATGAGATATTCGTGGTCTCTATTACTTCTAGTTCATGTGCGAAATTTTGTGGAAGGGAATTTGCGATGGACCTTCGCTATCAGATCATTTTGATCATTTCCCTTAAGTTTCTTGTATGTGATCGTGTTGTCATTATGATAAGAAACATAATATCCTCACGTGAGCAAAAGACACTTGAACTTTTCTCTGAGAATCATGTCATTATTTATTTATGTTTAGTTTTTGTTAACACATAATCATGTTTTTTTAAACTTCATGACACAATTTATCGATCAACGATATTTGACTGCCTGCGCCAGTCCCTACTCACCACCCTTACACAATGGCCCGAACTCATCCTAAATATAACTACGTCTAACCTTGACCTGGAAGATGGTTTGTATTAAGTCTCGCCCCGATAAACTGCTGCAGATAATCGTTTGTCCATTTGGTCTAAGTGTTGCTGTTTTTTTCTTCTCTAACACTACCCACTGCAATGACATTGCTTTCGCAAAGCCCTGGTGTAATCACTGATTTTCAGTGATCCATTCATATAAAGCTCACTTAATCAGAGTTAGAGAACTGGTAGTCTAGATCAATTCAGCTTGGGTCAAAACCAATAGAATGCAGGTTGGCCTGGTAAAACCCAGCAAGGTGCCTAGTCAACATCGTATTATGTGAACGACGGTAATAGGGGACTATTTCAATATATTTGAACTTTTCAAATTGCATGTAAAGTATAATTAAAAGCAAAAAAAAACAAATAAAATGTTATGTCTCAATCAATATCATTATAAATTGTACAACATATTTAATGTTCACTTACACAAAAGTCAATGCGGAAACAAATGTGGTTATGGTATACAGTAGACAGAACAGCGTTACAGATATGACGAAGGTTGTTGTCTGTTGCGAATCCTTGTTTTTTCTCTTGCGGAGCTGGTCGGGAGCTTTATGTTCTGCCTAGTGTTTGGTATAAGTGGAAACACCTTTCTGGATCAGTGGACTGTGGACTTCTGGGATCGGAGTGTTGCCATGGCCGAAACTATGGCACATGTCTCTCCGGTGTACTCTCCATTTCGCAACCTGTTGGCCTTTTCTCGGTATAGGGAGAAGGTGTGGATGTTGTTTCGGCCAAATTCTGTATGATTTCCAAGGTTCCCTGCACATAAAAACATTAAACGACAATATTAGGATCTTCAGCACAACCGTTTTCATCATTATTTTGATTACATAAAAGACGAAGTAATGTGATTTGATTCACCAAAGACAATTATAGAAAAGGATTAGAGATGTTATGGTATGTATCAATACCATTGCTAAAACACAACTTGTGATATAAATATCTTTATTTCTTCCTTTTCAAAAGCACGATTGTTTGCCCTGCCAGCCTTGTTGATATCATTGGTTCAGGACAGGCAACGTTTCGTCATACACATCTGTTCCTTATTATTTCAATACAGTATCATACAGAGGTATATTTATTTCACACTATCCTTAAATGGCGGGATGGATACCTCTCGCTGAGTTCTAGCAGCTTGAAGCATGCCAATAGTCATAAGTCGTAGACTTGTAGACGACACATTTCCAATCTGATTACAAATAGCATAGTGTTACTGTGAGAGTTTATGTTTGACTGTGGATAACGAACATCAATAATACTAATGGCTCAGCGCCGCGACTTTTCAAGTGTCCAAATCAAGAATGGCCCCTACCTACGTGTACGGAGGAATAGAATGGTTAAAGTGCAATGTTTCGGTGGTGTTGGGGGTGTTAGTTTTGGGGTTCGAAACCATTGTATTTATTTTGAATTGACCTTTATTCGGATTTATATTTTATCATTGAAGCGTTTGGAGTTTATACTATCCTTGAACGGTGGGTAGAAGAAAGATACAAAGAGTGGATACCCTTCTAAAATTTTAACATTTTAACCAGTTATCATTGTGGGCCCTTATTGTGTATTTAAACAGTAATGGCCACGTATTGTCTTCAGATAACACCCGTTTTTGTGCAGGTGAATCGATCAAAATCATGTGCACAGCACTATAGTGGCAAAAGTGTTTTTTTCACGTGCAACTGGTCACGTGGCCATAATACCGCACGTGTTTTCAGCCATACTTGTTAGCAGTCATTAAAAAAACAAAAATAACACAAGAAAACAAAAGTCTTTACGGCCATTTGTCATGCCACGCCTTTCAAATGTGCAACGTGAACGTGCCATCGGCGTGTTGCAGACGGGATCGTCCGTAGCTGAAGTCGCCAGGACGATGGGTTGTAGCCGACGGACTGTTTATGATTTACAGACGCGTCTACAGCAAACGGGTACCACCGCTGATCGCCCACGGCCACGACCACGTGTGACGTCACATGCAGAGGATCGTCAGATTGTCTTACGTCACCTCCGTAACTGATTTTTGATGGCAACATCAACCAGAAATGAACTGTTTAGGTGTAGACTGAGTGCGCAAACTGTTCGAAACCGTCTGAGAACTGCTCACCTTTAAGCACGACGGTCATACTTCGGGCCGATTCTGACTCAAATACACAGACGTCAACGTCAATCGTGGGCAAAGCGACACTTACGATGGACTCAGAGGAATTGGAATCAAGTCGTCTTCAGTGATGAATCCCGATTTAATCTTCGATTTGCTGCTGGTAGGGCGAGGGTGTGGAGGCGCCGTCATGAACGTTACGCCCAGTGTTGTGTACAGGAAGTTGACAGATGTCGAGGCGGAAGTGTCATGGTGTGGGGTGCTTTCTGTGGCAATTCACGTTCCAGGCTTCTTGTCATCCGTGGCAACCTCAACGCTGCTGCTTACCGCGAACAGGTACTGGCACCAGAACTTCTGCCTTTTATGGCAGCACATGGACCCGGTTTGATCTTCCAACACGACAATGCAGACCCCACACAGCAATTTTGACAAGGAATTTCCTTCAGAATGCGTTAGTCAACGTCATGGACTGGCCGTCAAGGTCTCCCGACCTCAATCCCATCGAACACGTCTGGGATGCTCTTGGCAGAAGTCTGCGCACTCTCCAGAAACATCCACAGAATTTGCAAGATCTTCCCAATCATGTGTTCACAAGCATCACAAGGTCCATGCTTCTTTGGACATTAATGATTGAAAATTACCTTCTCTTATACATTTGTCCATTGTATATCATACATGGGATTACTTTTAAAAATGTGAAGTTTGTAATTTGACTCAGTATGTATGTGCATACAGAATAAGTAAGAAATCACATTTGCAAGTGTCCTTAGTGCGGACTTTACTGTCTTGTTCATATGTGTTTGACCACAAGGGTAATCAATTTTAAGGGTTACAGCAAATACGTAAAGCCACGAGAGGAATATATCTGGAGTTAATAATACAAGTTAATGACACCTTGACATAGTAATAACGTTGTAAGGTTAATGCTGCCATTGTATTATTTTTCCTTCTCACAGTTATGTTGCTACGTGTCAAAGTAAACAGAACAAGATATGCATTTCTTCATTAAGCAGCTAGAGGCTTTGTTGGTGGTAACTTGGGAAAGTTTAGTTCACTTGAAATATCAGTGTGTGAAAGAAAGAGAAACTATGATAAATAGATTACTTTATCGTGATGAATAAATATACATGTGGCCACAACTCATAAACATCCCTCATCATGCGTTTTTCCGTGTTGCAGGTTATCTTCTCACGAGTGTAGTTAATACGTCTCATTGTATAAATATTTCCTTATATTTAAGGAGATATAATTATTTATGAGATCAGATATTTGCTGATATGTTTGCGTGTTGGTGAGTTGGAGCGAAATGGGATTTAATATTATGTGCAGACCGTATACACGTGTAAAGCGATGTGCACGCACGTGCGTGTGCGGCTGCTCGTACACGTCCGGACTTTGTCCAGTGTTTGAGTTCCAGCCCACGAATACCCCACTCAGACACGTTGTAATGACTCAGAGTCGACATATATTCCAGTACGAGTACCAGGCCTTGCAACAACAGTTATCATATTTTAGCACTTTGGTAACACACGGCTAGGGGATCGAACCAATAACCTTCCACTGTCCAGGCAGGCCTTGTATCCACTACACCAGGAAGGCAGTGCCAGGAAGGGTAACAACAAGTACCACATCTCAACTGTTACAACTGTATATGAACTAGTTCATCATCGTCTTGCGTTATGCGCATGTACATAGGCGTTCCGGTTGTAACAGAGGGTGGGAGACATAGAGCCGTGTGTGTTTTATCACACTGAATGTTTAACCACGTTAGCGTTTAAGCCATGAAACGAAAAACAATGAGATATGACGGTTCCATGAGATTATTCAAACAAGTTTATTCATGAAATAAGTATAAATAAGTAATAACTATTTCAAATAGATTCAGAACATCATACGCATAACGACTTGACTTGACATCACACTAAATCGAGGTAGGCCACATGAATAAGACACTGAATGATGAGAAAATGTTAGAATGACTGTGGTAAAATACACAAAATGATTCTCCAAAAAATATAGTATCCCCATTGACAGAAACAGAACAGTTTATTACTGTTGTTTTATAGATATTGAGTAAGAACAATCATTCTGGAGTGTTTGTACGGTACATTCACTGCATCACATAAGATACATATTAAATAAATACATACGTATGTCTTAATGCAAAACATCCACATCAGAAATTAATCAGTCTCGAGTCCATATGGCGTAACAGTAAAACTATTGATGAAACTTGACAGAATGGATCAGGTGTTTACGAAAAGAGTAATTGCTTGGGATAGTAGAAAATGGTTGTGATAGCACTAGGAATCGCCTTTGGACTGAGCTTCATGTCGTCTACGCTACTGTATAAAGAGTAGGACGATGCATATATCTGGCATGCTAAAACAGCATTCTATACCACCAAACAAAGTTAAGGACCATCCAAATCTTTCATATTACAATGGTTAATCTGTCATGGCAGTTTTAATTACCTCCAATACAACTAACTGATAATGAACGAGAGAAAAAACAGTGACAACCATGGCAGTTGAACAATAGGGATATGAGAGAGTAGCGAGTGAGTTTCAACAGTATTTCAATAAATAAAGCGACAAAACCCTTTCCACTTCAAATAGAAATATCTGTATAAAGCAGTGGTACCGGTGGAACCAGTCACACACATGCAATGGCAAGTCAATTATTCAGTTAAAGAAACACGGGAACATACGGTACAAGAGAAAATAGGAATTTGAATCAAACATAAATTTTGTCACTGATGCGTCAAATTAGGAATGTCCTGCACGTGTCTACAATGAAACTTTTTGAAAGCTTTACTGGTGTATTGAATGTTGTAACCTCGTATGACAGCGTGTCAGCTTAAATTGTTTGATAGGCTTTACTTAGAAGTTGACGGATGTTGTTTGATTGGTATTACGTAGAAGTTAACGGTGTCAGCTTGTTTAGTTTGAATGCCGAAAGTGATACAGGTCTTAGACGTTTACCATTTTGGACAAACCAATGATCATGACAAACCATGAAAACATAATAAGGGCAATTCTTCTAACATACGGTCATAAGTTACTGGTACGACTAAGGTAAACAACTGTGCACATCGAATTGCAGCACCTTAGACTGTGGTCTACTTTATTTCTCTTTGGAGAATTCGAATGATGCTGAGGAAACTAACCTTACCCTATTTGAACACATTCCTTGGTAGAAAAAGCCACCTGTTCACCGCAAAGTTTCAGGAATATATAACGAACAGTTTATGAATGGGCTTTAAGTCACTCAAAGTAAATAAAATAATACAAAATTCCTGAGTTACAAAAGGCACCAGTTCAGCACATGCCTGAACTGTATACATTATTTCATGACAATCTTTGCTCCAGAGCGAACTGAAAAAACAGAAAGACAAAGTCTGTCTCCCATAACGTCCAATCCTCGTTTGGATTGGGAATCTTTACGTTCCTGTGATTTGAAATGCATAGATATAATTTTTGGAATATGAACGATAAAATGGTAGCAATTTGGCATTTTACTGTTTAAATAATGTCTGCTACATTTCTGCTTCCATGTTTTGTGTCTGGTTGCTTCCAGCAAGTTCCAACTGTTCTTCCTTTTGGACCGGTGACGCGCCACCAACTCTTGCGTGCAAACAGTATGCTATTATGACGCCAATTACCTGAAAAAAAAGAAAACAATATCAATCAAAACAATACATTTGGTTACATTGAAAGGTCTCAGGTCGCTTTTGGACATGCAGATAGAAACAGATTATATATTGGTCAGTCGCTGAAAGATTACAACCATTCAGAAGAAGATTTTGCTGAAGACAAACTTCATGGTTCGCTTGCACAAAACTATCGTAGCTCCATGACATCACAACGTCAATATTTTAACAGATTGACAATCATCGTATTGCTTCAACTGCTTTGTTCATGTAGGGCATGAACAATAGTAATTTCCAAACGCGTCTTCGAAGTTCGCATGCAATTATGTTAAAACAAGCCTTAGAACAAATATAGCGAAATTTCACTCACCAAAATGAGTAGAACGATTGCATACCCAGCGCCAAGTACGATGTTAAACGTCTTCAACAACAACGCCGTCAACAGGTCATAACAATCCTAAAAATACATAGAACGTACTTAAATAAGAAGAATATTATGTTTCAGAAGACTATAACTTAGTCTTAAAAGCATTGGGTTATCTCCCAATCTAAAGCTAAATCTAAGTTCCAGGCTGTTCCAAGTGCGTATCCAATAACAAAAATCCTTTTATGACGTGCTCTAGAGATAGAACATTTTCAAATTGAAAAAAAGTGATGCAAAATGTCAGTATATTTTAATAGTTTGCAACGATATTACTCTTCATTTACTATCACTGAAAATGTACAAATGTAAAATAGTCAAATGAGGAAACTGTTCAGCTATTTCTTGCTGGAATTTGCCATTTTTATCTAAATACAGACACTTTCAAGTTCGTTTTGGAGCTAGAACAGTATGGTTGTGAAACACCACTCTAATTTTCTTTGGGAGTTATGGTACTTAGATCACGGCTTCAAGCACAAACTGTTATACATCAGTATTATTTCAGTGTGCACGGTCTTCCTTCATAATTAATTGTTCGTAATCTGTCCTTCGTTTCAGTCCGTGAATTCTTCAAAATATCATTTAATATGTGACACAAAATCCTTGATCTGTCTGATGAACACTTTTTCAGCGGTTGACTTCAGTCTTACAAATATCGATATTGCAAAACTGTGTCTTGTTAATTAATTAATATTTTGAACTCATCAAGTTTTGTAGTAAGCTTCCTAATTTAAATGTGACTTTTACCAGTATTTCTTCAGATCAACTAAAATACATTTGTGTTTCGTTGTGGTTTTTTTTATCTTGTTCCAGGGTAGCTTATCCAATCGTTTCATTTGATGACTTGTCACTTAAGGATTCAGATTAGGTTAACACATATCTTATATATTTGTTTGCTCCTTCAGTATTCAGTATAAGGATATACCATGACTGTCAGCTACATCTTTGAGGATGTGTCTTGATGTTGACATCCGACACTACTGTTGATTGCCAGGGTGTTTTACGCGACACCAGTTATTCCAAATTAAAAAAAAGATTGGATTGTCAGACAACCAACCATTCAGAGCATCTGAGAATCAATTTTCTGCATTTAAATTATCCTATTCCCTAATCATCAACATACGTTGGTACAGATGATGTACAGATTACAGATGACATAAAAAACTTCCTTCACTGAGCCTTCTCCATCCGTTCACAATGTGTCTGTTAGTGGTAACTGGTTCCTGGAATGGTGCTAAGATATTGACATTTAATTGTTACTGGCTCCTTGATGGTGCTAAAATAATGGCATTTAGTTGTAACTGGTTCCTGGAATGGTGCTAAGATAATGGCATTTAGTTGTAACTGGTTCCTGGAATGGTGCTAAGATAATGGCATTTAGTTGTAACTGGTTCCTGGAATGGTGCTAAGATAATGTCATTAAGTTGTAACTGGTTCCTGGAATGGTGCTAAGATAAAGACATTTAGTTGTCATTGGTTCCTGAAATGGTGCTAAGATAATGACATTTAGTCGTAACTGGGTCCTAGAATGGTGCTCGGATAATGACAGTTAACTATAGTCGATCCCGGGAATGGTGGTAAGATAAAGACATTTAGTTGTAACTGATTCCTGGAATGGTGCTAGGATAATGACAGTTAGCTACAGTCGATTCCGGGAATGGTGGTAAGATAATGACATTTAAATCTTACCGGTTCCTGAATTGTGTTAATCTAATGGCATTTGGTTGTAACTAGTTTCCTGGAATGGTGCTACGATAATGACATTTAGGGAAAAAAAGGATTCCTGGAATGGTGCTAAGATAATGACATTAAGTTGATACTGGTTGCTGGAATGGTGTTAAAATAATAAGGAGTATAACATTATACCATAATCCTTTTGATCTGAAATCACAGGACAATCCACAAATCTATTTTGATGAATATGACTGTATGAACTTTTCGAAACGTTAGCATATATTTGTGACTTGAGAATACATCTATACATGTTCGTACCAAATACAGTGAAGATGGAATAACATCTACTTAAAATACAAGCATTACAAACTTTAAATCGCAGGACAAACCTGGTGTTCAGTACACGAAGTGTTAAATATCATTTCTCTTCATGATAATGCCTTGAAACTTCATAGGGCATAGAACAAAGTCTCCTGAGTGACTGAAGAACCTTGACTCAATTTTGAGACCAAAGGTGGTTCTCGGGGCACGACTTGGTGATAAGTCTGATCTTTAAAGTAACTACCTTCAACTGATAGCCGACATGGCGCCAGATAGCGTTTGTGAAGCGACGAACCCATCAGACAAACTTTGTATCACTCCGTCAGGTGTGCACATGAACAAGCAGGAACTACTTTTTTATAAGTGCCATGCATCCATGCATGGCCTTCTTGCATGAAAGCTCTTGCCAACAATTCCCTGGACGTTGAGAAAGAGGTTTGACGATTTTGTGAATGCTTACGTAAAGTAACATGACCGCATTTGAGTGCAAATACTGAAACTTCTATATTCTTAGAATCGCCTTACATGATAAGAAATTAGTCCCATCGTTTACTGACATGTCTTATATGTTAGGAAGACAATTAGTTCTGCCATGGAACCGTAGCTCACCTGGATATGAATGGTTTGAAATGACAACAAAGACAACCACTTAAATGCAGTTGCTTTCATTGTTTTTTTTCTGAATAACTACTGAAGACAAAAGTGTCAATAAATATAAAACAAGTAACTAATTATCCACATATCTAGGTCGGGAAAAATGCACGTACTATTGCATAACTGTGTTACAGTACACAATCGTTACATTTACTTCACACAACACAAGTCTCAACTCTGAGCGTCTTACAATTCCTGGAATTGTTTTTTTCGAATTGTAGCAAAGACGTTAACAGAACCAAGTATGTATTTTGAGAGAATAGAAGAGCATAGTCCAAAAAGCGTGGATCATAAAAAGGCAAAAGTTTCAAATATCGTCAAGTGCACGTGTTTTGTCCTGCTATTACTGCACACATTACAACGTTTAATTCAAAAGAATGGCTGACTGGATGGCGTATTCCTGCAAGGAATCCCTACAGTAGGATGTACATGGACAACAAACAAAGAACCGACCCTAATGTTATATCAACCAGTACTCACGTTGGTGTATAAGTGAGGGTTTGTCATATTCCTATACCGTTGATTGCGATATTTGGGGGGTCCTGCGAAGTAGGTTTGTCCGGTACAGACGGCGATGTCTCCCTCAGGGATGCAACAGCTGTCAGGGACCTTCCTACCCCCTGGTGAAAAGAGTGTCTTGTTTGATGACTATGCATTAGGGAACGCAAGGCCATTGTGCTGGAGGGAGGTAACTCAACCGAAGCATGAGAACAGATCACAGGAAAGGCAATCACACAGAGAACTAGCATTACTGCCATGTGTTTAACACTTTAGATTTGAAGTGAGTTGTACAAAAGAAAATATCACTTATAAATTACGACAAACAAGCTATATGAGGAAAGAAAACCTTACTTGAGATTACATGAAATGAGTGTCTGATATGTTTACACTTTTAGCAGCATGATGTCTACAGACCAATGTTAATAATGAGGCTGCATCTTTGATTCGAACCAGCGTGAATATATGGTGAATTATTTAAGAATTTACTTTCACTGTGTATGAGTTCATTAGAGTATGAATCCTCATAGAGTGAGGGCCAAACTGTATGAACGTCGGAGCTTGCGATCATACAGCCAAACAACCACCAACTGTATTAGGGAAGAAACAAGTTCCTCTGAAGGAGAAATGAGCGTATGTGTGCTCAAATTGATCTTCAGTAACATGTAGTATGAGACATGAAAGGTCTGTTAAGCACAACTTCAGTGAGTCAGTCACAGCTATGGCGATTACAAATGTCAGTTGACATTGATCAATTGGCCGACCATTGAAAGGTGATTATTAAGATATGCCAAATAGATATTAAGGTAAAATTCATATATGTTGACTGTCACTGTCAGCCTAGACACGGATGGAGTCTGTAGTTTAGATGTGCATTTCTTCATTTCCATCACTGGGATGGATTGTAGCGAGGATATTCGTGAACTAGCACGAAGTTACGCACTTATGCTAGGGAATTCCCATGGGTTTCCCTGGGAAGGTGTAAGTTGTCGTCAGTGTTTATGTCATTTCAAGAAACCAGTCTCGAGACAATAAACGTATGAACGGCAGAATGTGACGTCCATAAGCTCATGTCAGTTTTGCGAACTCGTGACCCACTTCTCGTCCAATGGAGAGCCGTATCTCGTGTAAACATCACATTGAAACCTATGTATACTTATATAGTGTTTAGGACAATATATTTACAATATAACCACAGGTACAGAAGGTCACCTTAATTGGTGATATGACATTGAAAGGGTCAAGGTATGCAATTAGTTATATGGCTGCTGTACCGACCACATTCAAACATGGATCTGAATATTGTGAACAGTAAGGGACAGTGGTTATGTTAGCTAGGGTCGTTTTCTTCAAGTTTCAGCTTAATGGGCCTTGTAGTGTCAGAGGAGATGACCCATGTTGATGGTAAAACAGACTTGTGGACAATGAGCCACGACACAAGCTCACTTGAGCTTCAAAGTATGTTCACAACAGGCACTCAGATGGTGAACGTATATTTACTGTGCTATAATGAGATACTCACGGCCACGCTTCACTATTTCTTTATACCAAAGAGTGTTTTTGGAATAGTAGGCCCAGGGTTCTCTGCCGTCCTTGGAGATGCCACAGCAACCAATCTGAAGAGAGGATAAGAACATCGAGGACAGAGTAAACAGTGAAGCCTGAAGGATTCAGATATATTCCATGCCATTACAAACCTCCTGGGGTTCTGATACATTCCCCAATATTACGAAATTCAGGTGATTCGGGGAAATGTGTAACTTGAAACAAACACGTCATCTCCAGGGAAAGCTATCTACGGTCCACCGAACTGTATTACCACTGAATGGGTAAAGATGACAATCTCTGGCGGGCAAGTTTTCAGACTGATAGCAAGGTTGTTGTTTGTGCATCACGGCAGAGTGTGAGCCCTACCTGCTGCTGAACCAGGTCCCACAACTCTGTGATGTACTTGTTCTCCGGCTCGCTCTCTGTGTCAACACCGTACTGTTTCTTTAATCCGTCACGCATACGTTCCATTATGCCTGAGATAAACTATAGGAAAAGAGTTGGAACAGTTTGTAAATCTATTGAATAAATGTATTTGAAGCGACCTGATACTTCATTCCAAGTTTCGAAATGTTTATATTGGTGTAATTTACTATGTCACGGTTAAGATAATATAAGCGTGGTTAAAAAGGGTCGCCAGATCCTGAAGGGCACACTCAGAGATAGTATGTCTGAGAACAATATCTTCAGTTGTGATCAGGCAAATTATATGAATTGACATTAAACTTGACAAACACACATATGGACAATTACGAAGGTATGAATATGCTCATTGCACAGTATGACTCAAAAATAGATCTTCGTATTGAGGAATTAACAAGGATACTATTCATCTCCATGAAAAGTAAAGGAGCAAACTTTCAAAATTACAACCGCGTATTGTCTGGTCTTGGTGAAATGACAATTCTTAACTTCTACTGAAAAGGTATCAATGGCAATTAAGTGGTAAAATGTGTCTGGAAATTCCAAAGGCAGGCATACCATCGTCGTTAACCAATTTTGTGAAACTCATGAGCATGGGATGGTGCTGAGAAACTAAAGATAATAAAATGTACGAATCGTGGCTGCATCCCACGATCAGTTCTTTCTGGCTATATGGCACAAGTAAGGGTGAACAAATCCGCACAGCGGTTAGAGCGCCTTAAAGCGTCTGGGCCTCCCACAAGGAACAGGAACGGTTCTATAAAGGGTTAACTGTATTCATGCACTGTAAGTCTGCATACAACCCCGCCAGTGCCTCAATGAGTTAAACAAGTAGAATGAGGTTAAAAACAATGTTCCAATTCTGAAGATATGTTCATGTTTACTTACCTCATTGCGATAAATGAACTGCAGTACTAAAGTCACGCACACAAATATAACAAATGTGCCTAATGTTGACCAAAACTGAAACACAAGCAGATACATAACGTTAGAATACTTAATCTACTCTACATAATTCACTGTACTCACGGTGAAACACATGCAGATACATGACGTCAGAATAACTCAATCCACTTTACATAATCCACTACACGCACAGTGAAACACATGCAGATACATAACGTTAGAATAACTTAGTCTACTCTACATAATCCACTGTACTCACGGTGAAACACACGCAGATACATGACGTCAGAATAACTCGAGCTACTCTACAAAATCCACTACACGCACAGTGAAACACATGCAGATACATAACGTCAGAATAACTTAATCTACTCTACATAGTTCACTATACTGACAGTGAAACATATGCAGATACATAACGTTAGAATAACTTAATCTAATCTACATTATTCACTGCACTGACAGTAAAACACATGCAGATACATCACGTCAGAATAACTCAATCTACTCTACATAATTCACTACACTGACAGTGAAACACATGCAGATACATAACGTTCGAATAACTCGAGCTACTCTACTTAAACCACTGCACGTACAGTGAAACACATGCAGATATATAGCGTCAGCATAACTCAATCTACTCTACATAATTCACTACACGCATAGTGAAACACATGCAGATAAATAACGTCAGAATAACTCAATCTACTCTACATAATTCACTACACGCATAGTGAAACACATGCAGATAAATAACGTCAGAATAACTCAATCTACTCTACATAATTCACTACACTGACAGTGAAACACATGCAGATACATAACGTTCGAATAACTCGAGCTACTCTACTTAAACCACTGCACGTACAGTGAAACACATGCAGATATATAGCGTCAGCATAACTCAATCTACTCTACATAATTCACTACACGCATAGTGAAACACATGCAGATAAATAACGTCAGAATAACTCAATCTACTCTACATAATTCACTACACGCATAGTGAAACACATGCAGATAAATAACGTCAGAATAACTCAATCTACTCTACATAATTCACTACACTGACAGTGAAACACATGCAGACAAATAACGTCAGATTAACTCAATCTACTCTACATAATTCACTACACTGACAGTGGAACACATGCAGATACATCACGTCAGAATAACTCAATCTACTCTACATAATTCACTATACTCACAGTGAAACACATGCAGATACATAACGTTAGAATAACTCAATCTACTCTACATAATTCACTAAACTGACAGTGAAACACATGCAGATACATAACGTCAGAATAACTCAATCTACTCTACATAATTCACTACACTGACAGTGAAACACATGCAGATACATAACGTCAGAATAACTCGAGCTACTCTACTTAATCCACTGCACGCTCAGTGAAACACATGCAGATACATAGCGTCAGCATAACTCAATCTACTCTACATAATTCACTACACGCATAGTGAAACACATGCAGATAAATAACGTCAGCATAACTCAATCTACTCTACATAATTCACAACACTGACAGTGAAACACAAGCAGACAAATAACGTCAGAATAACTCAATCTACTCTACATAATTCACTACACGCATAGTGAAACACATGCAGATAAATAACGTCAGAATAACTCAATCTACTCTACATAATTCACAACACTGACAGTGAAACACATGCAGACAAATAACGTCAGAATAACTCAATCTACTCTACATAATTCACTACACTGACAGTGGAACACATGCAAAACATAACGTCAAAATAACTCGAACAACTCATCATAATTCACTACATTTACAGCGAAAGGCAGAAAAAACATATTTATCCGGAATTAGCCAAACGTACATGTGATTATTTTATACTCACACACAGTAATACGCGTCTGTGTTTCCGTATGGAGCCGAAACACCCACATACCGCTAGGACTGACAGCGCCACACCAACCACGATAGACAGGATTGCAGTTTGAATAAATGGATCACCCACAATTGGGATCATCCCTGTTGCATTTTGAAAAAGCCAGATTCCCAAGTACATCGCCGCACACCCAAGAAGCTGGGGACACAAGAAGCAATCAGGCCATGTTTGACGTTGTTTTGTTATATAAGTTGTATGTCATATCTGTGTACATATACACCTGTGTGATATAAATGTCTTGATGGGATGCTACACTAAGAAATGAGAGTATGTGAATAACTACTCAAATAGTCTTGACATGTAAACACTACCAACAGTTAAAGATTCGAATATCTGATATTTGGTTTTATATCATGGTTGTGTGGCAGTGTTGTATACATGTATATTTTCTGTATTTTATATATTTGTATACATATAATGTATGAAATGGTGTTTTAATTTTTTTATTCTGTTGAATGAAATTAAATAAACCTGTATGGCTGCTGTACAGCTCCGCATAACGACTTGATCTCTGCGTGGAGTTTTCTCAAATTTTAACTTCTACTGGTTGTGGGGTAAAGTAGGTAGCTTGGGTCGGCCCTTTGTTTAATACAGCTTGCGCCTCATTGGCCTTGTTTCAAATACTCACACCCAGCAACTAACCAGCACACCAGCCACTACACCTTGACCATGCGGACAACAAATATCTGCTCTGTGTATTTTTTTCATCTGAGACCGTCCAAATAGGTTAGTAATGTTTTTTGTACGTATTGTTATAATGTACTTGCATCTATTTGTGTAATCAGCTGTAGTGTTACACTGTCCTAATACATATTTAGATAGGTTATTACATATAGTCATATAATTGCAGCCATGTAAATGTTTGAACTAGGTCAGTACGTTCCAAGAGAAATCTAGCATTGTATATCTTCACCTTTTCTAAATGTTTCATTTGAGAATGAGTGAGCGAGTGGGTATGTATTTATGATGTATGTGTTTGCTTATGACAATGTTATTAAATGTGTAATGTAAAGCATTCATTGGTATGCTATGTGTAACACATAATTCATGTTTTCTAACTAAAGGTAACCCGTTTTGCCTAAGTAAGTATATTTGTCTTTGTATTTGTATTTAGATGCAGGCATCACAAGCCCTGTCAGTTGTGTTGGTTAACGCAGTTCCCGCCCCAGTTTCACCTCCAGGGTATGCTTGTACTTTCTTGTGTATTAATGACATTAATTAATTGCATTTATCATATTATTACACTTGTATATGAATACAAATGTATACATAATTATTGTAAGTTATAACACATCCTTCAATGTATGTGTTAAAAGCAAGAGTTCTTTCTATTTCTATGATGTCGTCGGTGTGACGATGTGAATGAATGTAATATAATGTGACGTGCTATTACATATCTAAGTTTGTGTATACTAACATACATATATCTTTACGTGAATATTTATCTTTAAGTTTGATATGTTTCAGGGCGTTTGTTCTGATAATAAATCCTCATGACAAATAACGACCCGTGTTATTCATGAACACCCCCTGTTACAGTTATACCGCTCACTTTGGTTACAGTTATACTAACCGGGTGATGCCCCTCACTTAGGTTACAGTTATACAAACCGGGTTCTGCCGCTCACTTGGGTTACAGTTATACTAACCGGGTTCTACCGCCCACTTAGGTTACAGCTATACAAACCGGGTTCTGCCGCTCACTTAGGTTACAGTTATACTAACCGGGTTCTGCCGCTCACTTAGGTTACAGTTATACTAACCGGGTTCTGCCCCTCACTTAGGTTACAGTTATACTAACCGAGTTCTGCCCCTCACTTAGGTTACAGTTATACTAACCGGGTTCTGCCCCTCACTTTGGTTACAGTTATACTAACCGGGTTCTGCCCCTCACTTAGGTTACAGTTATACTAACCGGGCTCTGCCCCTCACTTTGGTTACAGTTATACTAACCGGGTTCTGCCCCTCACTTAGGTTACAGTTATACTAACCGGGTTCTGCCCCTCACTTTGGTTACAGTTATACTAACCGGGTTCTGCCCCTCACTTAGGTTACAGTTATACTAACCGGGTTCTGACCCTCATTTTGGTTACAGTTATACTAACCAGGTTCTGCCGCTAACTTTGATATTTCGATTAATGAAATTCTAAACTGACATGTGTTTACAAGTGTCAGAAATTGAAATACTATTAATACATATGATAGGCGTGCCGGTATATCAGATGTATTGTGTGTTAACAAGTGTCAGACATGCGGGTATATAATATGTACTGTGTATTAACGCATGTCAGACTTGCTAGTACATATGCTGCACTGTGTGTTAACACATGTCACACATCCGGGTATATGAGATGTACTGTTTATTACTTATGACATTACTACAGGGTCAAATAAGGATTTTTAACATGTTTGGGCTGAATAGATGAGGTTTATAGATCACAGTAACTAACACATTTAAACACTCACACATTGATCATCAGTTGGAAATATGATTTTATATACTGAACAACAAAAGTTCCTGTTACATTGAATAAGATTTAATGCAAAGTTATATTTTTTCGCCAAATCTGAAACAATTTGGGTTTGCAACAGATAAAAGACTCCTGTAAGTCACACATAATAACACACATATTCGCTTCATGGAATTGACCAGGCGTCGCACAAAGTCCTGTGGGATATCTGTCCATATCTGCTGGAGCATGTTTCGAAATTCCTGGGGGGGGGGGGGGGGCACGGGTGGTTCGTGCTCGTGGGTTTCACCGAAGTGGTAAACGTCTGAGACCTGCATCACTTCGGGCTTTCCTCCCACATGAAGCTGACACGCCGTGATATGACTGGAATAATGTTAAAAGCGGCGTTAAACCAAACTCACTCACTCACTCACTCGAAGTTCCTGGAGTGTCTGTGGAACACGTTGCTGACGTCGAATGCGCCGATCCAGCTCATCCCACATGTGCTCGATTGGTGAGAGATCAGGGGATGACATTCACGTTGTTTTGTTGAAGAGATTCCTGAACAAGTCGAGCAATATGAGGCCGGGCGTTGTTATGTTGAAAGGTAATTCCTGGACACGACGACGCAAAAACGTTAGAACAACAGGGCCGATTATCTCGTCGTGGTAGCGCTGTCCATTTAGGTTTCCCTCTACCACTATAAAACGGGTCCTCTGTCTTGCTGTAATCCCACCAGTAGCATAACGCTGCCGCCCCCGAACGGAACTTCTTCCATGACACAATCATTGACGTAACGTTCACATCGACGTCGGTACACTCGATTCCGTCCATCGCTGTTGCTGAGGTGAAAACGAGTCTCGTCAGTGAATAGAACGCTGTCTGCACCACGGTAGACGTGCTTGACGGTGGTTTCCTGTCAAAATGGGACGTCTGGCGAGCCTTCTGACGACAATTCCTGCACATCTGAGGCGGCAACGTACGGTTTGTGAAGATAATCGTCGAAGGCCAGGGATGCTTCTTGCAGTCACTGTTGCTGGCTGGAATCGATTTCGTAGGCGTGTTGTTCGAATCCAGTTGTCTTGTCGATTATTGGTTACACGTGGCCTGCGACTCCGAGGATGGTCTCTGACTGCATTCGCCTGTTGCCAACGTTGCCATAAACACCAAATGGTGTTTTTGTGGACGTTAAACTGTCTTGCAACATCACGTTGACTTGATCCTGCTTCAAGCATAGCAATGGCTCGCAGACGCTCATTTTCGGACAGGGATGGCATTTCGTATTGTTGAATAATTGCGTATTTTTTTTATTTTTCTGAGTGGTTGCTGCCAACACGATGCTAAACAATGCATATGGAATCCCGTTAACGCAGATGTTTTTATGCCCATTCTTGGGTTGTGAAATGCATGGGGCTTTCTGAAGCAGTTGCGTTTTTTTGTGATTCCATACATGTACTACAATATTGAAAAACAAACATTACTTGTTTGAAAAATACACTAAAATATTGGTGTCACAGGATTTTTTGTTGTCGAGTATATAAAGATCAGTTTAGTCTTATTCAAGACAAGTACTAAAACAAAAGCTTTTCAAGACAGACCTTCAATTTTTTTGGAACCTTCACCTGGCCTGACCAATCGATCCATTAAGTTACGATTTTTGTGATCTTTTGTGAACAACTTTCATCCTTTATAAACAATCTCATATCGCGTTTAACATGTTGATTGTTTCGTATTGTACTTCCTGAAACCATCAATTTTGATTGCAGCATGGTGTGTTCATGAATCAGCCCCTTTATTACTTACCAACAAAACAATACTATATAGGATGAGAGACGCTCGGAGACACCCGTTACGATTTCCTCCACCATCAAGCGGTTGCTGAAAGCAAACATACACTGTATAGGATGAGAGACACCCGTTACGGTTTTCTCCATCCTTAAGTGATATCTGAAAACAAACAGACACTGTATAGGATGAGAGACATCCGTTACGATTTCCTCCATCCTTAAGTGGTGGCTGAAAATAAACACTTTCTTGGATGAGAAACACCAGTTACGATTTCCTCCAACCTCAAGTGGTGGCTGAACACAAACAGACACTTTACAGAATGAGAGACACACCTTACGATTTCCTCCATCGTTAAGTGGTGGCTGAAAAAAACAGACACCGTATAGGATGAGATACACCGGTTACGATCTCCTCCATCCTCAAGTGGTGGCTGATCACCAAAATCAGATGATAATAACATTTGAAGTATGTAAAACTGACAAATATATTTCTTTTTACAAACTATGTCATTGAATATTGTCAGCAACAGAAACTTCCCAATTCAATATATCACTTGAAATTGATCATTCGTGAAAATAAAATGAAATGGTGTAATTTCCGAATAAGATCAGAAGTTTTTATACAGAGCTTGCTAAGTCACCAAACCGAACGCAGGGATGGTCGGCTTTATCAAAGCTCATGACCTGCAAACTTGTGTCTTTGCCGGTATTAACAATATCTTCTAACCATCATCCTGTGGCCATGACAGTCACACTGTAATTTAATCAAGTACGTTCTTCAAAATCCGTTTGTTTTCATATGACCCAAAGTAATTATATTATGCAGACGTCTTTAATGATGAACCGTCAATGACCCACTTTGCATATGATCGAAGAGTGCCACTATTCGGAAAAAACTAAATCCTACGTCTTATCCATATAAACTTCTAAACTCCAGGATATACTAAACGTATGCAGGATGTATGTCAATCTATCTTTGAGAATATAAATTATCCATGCAAGAGAATAACCAGTCTAGATTATCCGCCGACTCAGAAGTTTGGCGTAAATGGCAAGATAGCTGTGAAAATTATACGAATGGACCACTGAAAATCAGTGATGAAACCAGGTGTTCGCGAAATGGCTAAGATTGCCCTGCCCTACCGGTTGCTGCCGACAATAATCAATAACAATATCATGAAATATTCAAATATCATCAGTGTAAAATAACAATTCAAGAAAATCAGAGGCAACAAAAATAACTCTCAGTCGTGGTATACTGATCTTATCGAATTGTATTCCTGCCGAACAAACATCGTGGTATACTGATGTTATCGTATTGTATTCCTGCCGAACAAACATCGTGGAATACTGATGTTAGCGAATTGTATTCCTGCAAAAAAAACATCGTGGTAGACTGATGTTATTGATTTGTATTGCTTCCGAACAAACATCGTGGTATACTGATGTTATCGACTTGTATTGCTGCCGAACAACTATCGTGGTATACTGATCTCACCGACTTCTATTGATGCCGAACAAACTTTGTGGTATACCGATGTTATCGACTTGTATTTCTGCCGAACACACATCGTGGTATACTGATGTTATCGACTTTTATTTCTGCCGAACACACATCATGGTATACCGATGTTTTCGACTTGTATTTCTGCCGAACACGCATCGTGGTATACTGATGTTATCGACTTGTATTGCTGCCGAACAATCATCTTTGTATTCTGAAGGTACTGTCAGGCTGCTGAAAGATGCGCGCTCGTGCGTGAGTGTGTGTGTGCATGCATGCGTGCGTGTGTGTATTGTTACATGAATTCAACACAACAAATGCTTCTCGGAAATGCAAAAGTGAAACGAGCCACTAACACGCTCACCATCAAAGAAATACAAACTGTGGGAGGTCAAACTAAACAATGGAATCGCTCTTCTGACACGCCGTCTTGTGCATGTTACCATTACAACAAGTTACCCAAGAAAATTCCAACAAGGGACATAATATATATAAATAGAAAAAATTACTTCTCACTGTTCTTTTTAAGTCAGTCTACAAATATATCCGGATGCGAGGATGACGTTTTCACATACCATAATGGTATCAATATGACATGATATGTGCAAAATGTCATCCTTACATCCAGAAGGAAACCTTTCCACAAAGATAGTACACAGGAACCCCGAGGATACATTTAGTAAGCACGCTCTTTTCGCACGATTTCAAAGAGCGCTAGTTAAGTCAGGGTTACAACATTTAATTCCTCAGCAAATCTTTCAAAATGTATTGGGGGCGGTCGGGTAGCCTGGTGGTTGAAGCGTGAAGCCCATTCCTGGTGTCCCCCGCCGTGATATTGCTGGAATATTGCTAAAAGCGGCGTAAAACCATACTCACTCACTCACTCAAAATGTATTGTGGTAGACATTGGAAGAAATTTCCAAAGCTGACGCATCAGTGACAAATTATATCCGATGCAATTCCCTATTTAGATCTGTACCATATGCGCCAGTGATTTTTTCAGGTAAACGACTGACGTTCCTTTGCAAGTTCCATAGGTGGGGCAGGATACGCTCCCATTTTCACCTGGTATCGTCACTATTTGATAGTGATTCATGACCATGTACTCATGATAAAGTCAATTAACTCTGCTTTAAGCAGAGATTTCTTATGATAATGGGATTGTTTTTGTCGCTTTTAACTTAATACAGTGTTTTTACTTTTACCTGCACAAATAACACATTCCCTCCCTTATTATTCCAATGAAGATTCATTATGTAAGGACAGGGTCTGATTCTACTCGTATCATCTAGGATAGTGCTCCACACAATGGTCCCACAACAATCATCGGGGACAAAACCACAGTTCTGATAACTATCGACCAATCAGAGAGCTGCTTTCCGATACGTCCTCACTCTGTGCGGTCTGATATGAGCCATTTGCGGGTATCGATCGATATCAATCCATCGCAATAAATGCATCACTAAAAGTATCTGTGAGAAGGGTACCCAACCCTTATCTTAAAGGGAATGCATGGGGCAAGGATAGAATTGAGGGTGACCTATATAACCCTAACCCCCTTAACCCTAACGATCGAGGAGGCCTGCGAGATCAGTGAAGCGAGAGCCACAACTAACGGCATGAGCCAATTATCGCTATAAGATATCCCCGGTCAGCCGTACCGCGTATTCGTATAGGGGTCGATACAGTATATCACCCACGACATGGTAGATATCAATGATATGTGCATAATCTGCAGCTGCCACTGCATTGTAGAAACATTGACACAGGGTGAACGGTGTTATGCGGAATGTCATGATTTCTGCAAAGATACATATATAGGATAGTGCATTTCTGACACATGTGTGATATTTATCGATCTAGAGCTTTTTAATTAGGGGCACACGGGCCTGTTTTCACACACCTAAGCACTAATGATCATTTCACAGAGCAATTGCCACGGCGATTCGCGCCATGAGCAAACAATAAGACATAGATCTAGTTATTAAGTTTTATGCTAAAAATGTATTGATCCATTAAAACGCACCTTGTTCCCGGAGGCGGTGGCATCTACGAGCGACGCTCCACTCTTGGGATCGACGTCCCAGTATTTGTCTAAACGTCCTGCATCTTCCGTCATTTTCTTCTCGTCGCCTGATCGCAAATCGTCTTTCCGAGTTGATCTCCTCCTGTGTGATAAGGTAGTGTTTATACCGTCATCTCATCACACATCATCCTAAACAGGCTACCGTGGACTCTCACACAGTGTGTATTTCAAAACCCGAAGCTGGGCAACAGCACTGTGAGTGGTTAAGTAAATACACACTCACTGAAAACCTCCCAGGCGGAAACTGTTCAATCAGGCTGATGCGAGGGATGCGTGAATCTCCCGCCTTCTCTGTATAGAAATGTCACGAGTCATAGGGTAAACAGGCTCGAGGGCATGCGGGACCCACAGGACCATGTCACTAATATCCCCCAATAACAAACTCGCAGACGAGGCCGACATTGTGTTACGACTGTATCTCTTTAATCAGCTTCCTTGAAGTAGATGATGGCACCTTGAACTTATAAACTCGGACGTTTCCACTGCAAACAAGGGAGTCCGCCATATTGGAATCCCTGCGTTGGAGTATTCTGCCAAACACGGCACCGCGTCAAAACGGCACCAAGCGAAAACGGCACCTCGATGGGATAACGAACAATCTTCATACCATTGTTTTCTATTTTGAATCATTACTATTTTGAATATTATCAATAATTCTATTCTAGAGTATTATTCTTAAACCCGGATACTGGAGAGGTATACTTACACTGCAGTCGTCTAAGGCGCCGCGATTCGCTGTGCAGAGTTGCGTCCCCAATTATGTTTCGAGGTTTGTCAGCACCATACCCGTGCTCGTGGGTTTCACCGCAGTGGTAAACGTCTGAGACCTGCATCACTTCGGGCTTTCATCCAACATTAAGCTGACACGCCGTGATATACATGTAACTGGAATACTCTTAAAAGCGGCGTTAAACCCAAATCACTCACTCACTCACTACTAACTGTTGGTTCAAGACCAGCTTCAAGCATCAGGCTTCAATCAAAGAGGTCTGTGAAGAGACTCACCAGTAAAACAATAGATAAATAAAACAAGGAGCTTGAACAACGCTATAAATGTGGTGAATTTATACTATATTAATTTTCATAGAGAAGGAAAATGACAACGCGAGAAGCCCAACGATAAATCAAATTGACACAGTCGTCTGTGTGAACAAATGCATTAGTTTCCACAACTTACGGCCAATAATCATTTAATAATGCACAAACGTCCATCTATTTCACATATGGATCTACAAATAAATTCAACTACTTAAGCAAAGAGTGAGTGAGTGAGTTGGGTTTAACTCCGCTTTAAACAGTATTTCAGTTATATCATGGCGTGGCAGCTTTATGTAGGGTCTCAGACCTATGTCCTAAAAACGGTGTCAATTGTACAATTCCGATAATATCACGAGCTTTTGTTTATGAATCACTATCAAACATTAAAAATACCAGGAGATCGCGAAAAGCTGATCGTAGCTTGCATGCCCTACCGTTGGCAAACGGCAAGTTAATTGTTCACCTGAAAAGAACACTCGAAAATATAGAACAAATCAAAATAGTGAATTGCATTGGACATCAGTTTTGTCTCTGATGCTTCAAATGTCGAATTTCATCTTGTTATGTTTACTCTGGTGGTGAATGATGCCTTCTGATGCAAATACTTATATTAATATACTCAACATGTTCATTTCTCAAGCCGCAGACAGCGGCCGTTCGTGAGAAAAGATGAGTTGAGTTAAGTAGGTAGCTGTTGTTCACTTGTCCCACATGGTATTCGGATCAACATTCCTACAAAATATGGGATTGAGGCGATCCGAATACTTATAGAGCTCCATTTTGACCGACGTCCCATGATACTCAGATGTGTTATACACAAAAAATACCAATGAGGGAAATGGCGAAGCGAAATCCCTCGAGACAAATGTATACAACGCTAATGACCGTCGTTCTAACAATAATCGATGTACAGTGTATTTCAACGCTAGTCCAGTGTCCAGGCCGTCCCCATGCAGGAGTATCACATGGAACACCGACAGTTATCAGAGGTCTGCGGGGATGAGGGCCTATCTAGTGTTAAACGCGTTCGGTCGTCACGAAGAACGGCGTAGAAACCATACTCACTCACTTGAAGGTGTGCGTGAATTGTGTTCACTCATGCTGCAGTATATCGGGATATTGACAGTTTTGAAGAGTTGACAATACGAATTGTGTTCTGATTCGGCCTCTTCCTTATTGTGTAAATTCTGCAAGATTTGCTACGTGACTATTTTCTTGTCCTTGCAATAATCTTGTGACATTGTATTTGTTAAACCACAATGTTCAAGCTGACATCTTAACTTACAGGCTCAAGACAATAACAACTCTATTCATAACGTCAAATCCTGTAAGTCGCCAGGCGAAGATGGCATACTAGCGGAGTTTTGTAAGTCGGCTGAAACATATTCACTATCTTATCTTCCGATTTTTTTTCATGAAATATTAAACACGGTCATATGCTTACTCCTTCATCAGGTGAATAAATGCCATTGGGCAGAGAGCATATGTATGTACATGTGAGGACAACAAAATTAAAGTGTGCGTTACGGTAAGATTTTAAGTCACATCGGCAATACTTCGGCCATATCATGACTTTCAAAGGCATACTTTACATAATAAATACAAGTGAACTATAGAAATCTGTCAACAAGGGACAGTAAAATCACTAGACTTATCACAGATTGTGATTTGAAACTAGCATGAAACCATATAAATACACCACTAAAGTACTAATGGAAATGAAAAAAAACTGTGTTGCTGGATTTAATAATCGACACAAAGCATTACATGGACGTAAATACGAAATAACAAAACAACTGGAAAAGTACTAGTCCGGATTTGCTAGTTCTATCTCAGTGCTCAATACAAAATGTACTTTACAGGAGGTAATTTGTAGACACTTTCAACATTCAAAAATAAAACTAAGTTAAAATTGACATGGCAGAAACAGGCTATAGGCATTATGCAAATTAGCCTGGAAAAAAAGTTATCAAAACAACAATAAAAATAACAGCTTTGTTTATGTACATAATAATAATAATGACATGTAAGTTGTTGTTTGAGAAGGGAATATGTTATGTTTACGTTCTGATATTTTGACGATGATTCACGATCCCACAATGCCATTCCGTCATCACTAACCACTGACAAATCACATGATAATCGTAGTCCATCGTCTGTGATTTGGAGAATCACCACACCCTACCAAGGCTTCCCCCCCCCCCCCCCCCCCCCCCCCCCCATCCCTCATTTGCCAAGTGTCCATTACCAATTACTTATCTATGACAACTTTTTTATATTGCTAATCACCTGTCAGCTCCAATCCTCTGTTGGCTTCCTTTCTTAGCTTGTACCCTTTGTTATTTTCCACATTTTGTTATCCCATTAATTTTGTTGTCCTTACATGTACCTATATATGTGCTCTCTGACTCATGGCATTCATTCACCCGATGAAGGAGAAAGCATTTACTCCGAAAGGTTGTGTTCCTCATAATAAAGACGTTGACATCCATATATTCTCTTCCTTATGGAATAATACTACCTGTTTGTGACGTCATCCAATATTTATGTATGATGTTGCTATTTGTAAATCGGTGACCTCCCTTTTTCCCAATATTTATATCAATAAAGCTACGAAAGTGGTTTGCTTCAAACAAAATGTCTCTGCACATCACGATTAATTAATATTAAAACGAATAACAGTGTCGAATAACGAATTTCCGTACCAGAATATCATGTGAAATATGTGAGATTGGTGATGGAAAATCCAAAATGGCTGTTCCTGACGGTATATGGTCTCATATTATATATATATATCCTTTATGAACTATTATTCCAGAATTATCACAATTATTCATTCGTGTATTTCAAACTTAATTTGTCGAAAGTGTTCGTGATTGCAGTCAGTGATGCCTATAAAAGTACCCAGCTTGTGGTAGATTTCAGTATTGACTGCCACATTGTGTATGAACGTCAGAGATTGTAGCATGTACATGTGATAATACCAACTGCAGGTGTTGCCGAAAACGATGCTTCGCCACCCGTCACAAACACAGGCAAAAGCAGGTCAAATGTTCATCTAAAAGCACACACACACATCTGGTACCAGTCAAAAGAGGGACATCCTTTTTGTCTTGATTTTGAAATGTCACCAACGTGTTAAAATAACACTTTTCGAAAGTGTTGTAACCTTCATCAAACAACTTCTGAGCAAGAGTTGTATGAAAGCGTGTCAACTTGGTTTCATTTTGTAATGCCCAAAGTGATACAGCACATATTGATCTAAGGTAAAACTTAACACAACATCATACGAATTGCTGTGGGAGTATGACAGTTAGAACATTTGTCATTTTATGTGCGCCTCATAATGCTGTCACGTATATTCATCATAGTGAGTGAGTGAGTTGGGTGTAACGCCGCTTTTAACAGTATTACAGTTGTATCGCGGCGTCTCAGCTTATTGTGGGAGGAAAGCCCGAGGTGATGCAGGTTTCAGACGTTTACCACTTCGGTGAACCCTACGAGCACGGGTATGGTGCTGACAAAGGAACATAATCGGGGCGAACCGGGATTCAAACCGACAATCATAGGTTTCTGGCGTGCCCAAGGGACGCAAGTCTGCACAGCGAATCGCGGCGCCTTAGACGACTGGGCCACCCTTGCTCCGAAAAAGGCACTACCCGTCAATGTTCATCACGTTTCCATGGAAACTGTCGAACATCTCTAAGCCTCTAAATAGCAACAGGCACCATTGTTCAATGTGAACAATACGTTTCGTAAAGCTAGATTGTTTAGTGTTCGAAATATGCTCCGGAAATAAAATGTTTGTTTGTATGTTGTTTAACGCCGAACTCAGCAATATTCATGCTATATTGCGACTGTCTGTAAATAATTTAGTGATGACCAGACAACCCAGTGATAGACATCATGAGCATCGATCTACGCAACTGGGATACAATGACATGCATCAACCAAGTCAGATAGCCTGACCTCCCGAGCCCGTTAGTCGCCTGTTATGACAAGCGTAATCGCCTAATAGCTATTCTTCTTCGGATCTTCACGGGTCCCGGAAAATGATACAATGAAAGATATTTTACATTTACAATAAATGATTGATGACAAAATACAGACGGACAGACAGACATTCTGACATACTGACGACTATATATCAGCCCCGTCGTTGTATGTCGGGAGGATACAAAATCAAGTATTTTCTATAATGGAATGATGATAATCATGATCAACATTACCATCATCATCCACAACATCGTCATCTCCATCTTTATGTTATTTTGCTCTGCCGAATGCCGACAAATCGTGCTGTGAACCTTGGTATATACTCACCCGTGACAACATATGCACGGCGACGTAATGCGCCTGCAATAATATGTGCTGTTAACGTAACAGGATAGGAGATTTCAATGCTAAAACGAAAGATTATCCTGATTATATACCTAATGATACCCTCTAACATATCATGATGATTTCAAAT